CATCCCTTTTGGTTCTTAAGAACAAATCCTTTAAAATGCTGTTGACCTCTGTGACCTTTAAGGTAGGTTGAGGTCATTTTCATTCGCAAACTTTGGTGAGCTCTATCCCAGGAAGCCACCAGCCAAATATTATAATTTTATGCCTTCGATTATTCAGAAGAAGTCGTTTGATGTTTTTGACATATTTGACACCTGTGACCTTGAAAGAACGTCAAGGTCATTTTCATTCTCAAACTTTATCGGGCTCCATCCCAGGAAGCCATCAGCCAAATATGAAGATTTTATACCTTTTCGTTCTTCAAAAGAAGTCGTTTGAGAAATGTTTGACATAATTGACAGCTGTGACCTTGAAAAAGTACGTCAAGGTCATTTTCATTCTCAAACTTTGTTGGGCTCCATCCCAGGAAGCCATCAGCCAAATATGAAGATTCTATACCTTTTAGTTTTTCAGAAGAAGTCGTTTGAAGTGATCGACATATTTGACCGCTGTGACCTTTAAAGTACGTCAATGTCATTTTCATTTTCAAACTTTGTCGGGCTTCATTCCAGGAAGCCACCAGCCAAATATGAAGATTCTATACCTTTTCGTTCTTCAGAAGAAGTCGTTTAAAGAGTTTGACATAATTGACAGCTGTGACCTTGAAAAAGTACGTCAAGGTTATTTTCATTCTCAAACTGTGTCGGGCTCCATCCCAGGAAGCCAACAGCCAAATATGAAGCGCCCTGACAGAATATTTTGATGGTCTTTGTTACATCAATAGTAACGAATCATATAACAAAATACGCATTGCAGAAGTAATTTTCTTGCCACGAGAACTCTGGAAGTCATATTTCATAACAAATTTTATCCATCGAGATATCCGTCAATAACAGTGACATATACAATGTACATAAATATTTATATGAGATTTATTGGTCAATTTAGCAGACGCCATACCATTACCTCCCAGTTTGCAGAATACTATTTTGATAAAGTCACTTTTTTAATTCCTGGTCCATTTATAGGTATTCAATCATCAATATACAAATCATATGTTATTATAATAGTAATACATCTACCCCACATTAACCTTAAACTTCATTGTTATGTTCGAGAGTCAAAATCTTCTAAACTTAACGATAACCAAATACTTACAAAGAACATATTTCATAACATGACAAAATATTTACATGTCCAACAGAAACGCATTCGTCGCTATAATGTCGGAAATCCCCCAAGAAAGTTAAATATGTAATAGGGTGTAGCCACATGTACTAGCCTCGTCTGTCAATACAACTATATTATATTATAGGTGTATTGACAGACGACGCTTGTATCTGTGGTGTAACTACATGAACATGTATGTGTGCATCATTGATCTGTATTCTTAGCGAAGAAATGAAAACAAAACTAACCAGCGCTTCTCTATAGTGTATGCCTTGTTATACTAATCGTTAAATGTAACCATGAAGAGTCCAATCAGGAAGAGAGGAATATATAGAGGATAATAAAGAGGATATGAAGGTAGTTATATGTGGTATAATACTAGGGGGAATTATCAGACAAGTGCTATAGGGTATCTGTGGAGTTTGCAGCAGACATGCACTATAGGGTTTCTGTGGATTTTGCATCAGAAATGCACTATAGGGTATCTGTGGAGTTTGCATCAGACAAGCACTATAGGGTATATGTGGTGTTTGCAGCAGACATGCACTATAGGGTATCTGTGGAATTTGCATCAGACATACACTATAGGGTATCTGTGGAGTTTTGCAGCAGACATGCACTATAGGGTATCTGTGGATTTTGCATCAAACATACACTATAGGGTATCTGTGGAGTTTGCATCAGAAATGCACTATAGGGTATCTGGAGTTTGCAGCAGACAAGCACTATAGGGTATCTGTGGATTTTGCATCAGACATGCACTATAGGGTATCTGTGGATTTTGCATCAGAAATGCACTATAGGGTATCTGTGGAGTTTGCATCAGACAAGCACTATAGGGTATATGTGGAGTTTGCAGCAGACATGCACTATAGGGTATCTGTGGAATTTGCATCAGACATACACTATAGGGTATCTGTGGAGTTTGCAGCAGACATGCACTATAGGGTATCTGTGGATTTTGCATCAGACATACACTATAGGGTATCTGTGAAGTTTGCATCAGACATGCACTATAGGGTATCTGTGGAGTTTGCAGCAGACATGCACTATAGGGTATCTGTGGAGTTTGCAGCAGACAAGCACTATAGGGTATCTGTGGATTTTGCATCAGACATGCACTATAGGGTTTCTGTGGAGTTTGTAGCAAGACAGAACATTATATAAATACTACACTCAAAGCCGAGGGTGACAGTGATATCCGACGGGTTACCCTAGGGACTTGCACACTCTTATGAGTGCACTATTTATTTTATCAAACCGAAAACCCTTAATTAACAAAGTTTTCAAAGTAACAAGTACACGTAAATTGTATTTTCATCAACAAATTTAACAGTGAACTATTCAAGCGTTAACAATAAAGTTAGCGTTTCTAACACTGCGAAATATCATGGCCGTTATAACAATTGAATTGTTGAAATTGACGATCGGGTTACCATATCATTATCAGTGATTGTGTTTACTGCCCGGAAACCTTTTGTACATGTTCGTTTGACGGTACTGACTGCGTGCTGTTAGAGTCCTTATCCGTCAAAAGTCTGTCCAAATCATCCAACTTGACATATTATATGCAAGTCTTGCCATTTTTTATGTAAATACAGACATATGTTCAATCAAATCATTTTTTGATTTCTTTTTCCTACTTTTGGAATATCTTGGCATTAATTTCTAATGCGAGAAAGCAGTATAAAATAATAAGCGGTTAAAAGAATTAAAATGTGTTAAAAGATTGTTTATATGATAGATTATATGAACCACATAACAAAAACGTTCACAAGATCCCAAATGACGGGGGCTTAACTAATCCACAAAATAACCAAACAAGCAATATGACGATAGCTGATAATTACAAGACAACAGTCTTCATAGACACCAATGATTATGAGGGCATGGTCGTGACCTTGGTATAGGACAAAACATGTGACCAACTTCTGACCAACATTACTTAAAAGTTTAAAAGGCACCTCATAGCCTTCATATTTCAATTAAGACATATTGCGGACTAAACTGTGTGCACTGTTAACAATACAATGTGTCCAGGTCTCATCAGACATATTTGGCCTGCTAGTGGGTAAATTGTGACGTCATGTTAAGGTTTCGAAACATGTAGGGGAAACTATGTCAACGATCATCATTCTGAAAGTTGAACAATTACCAATATCTGAACTTATAATCGCGACACCTTTGCGCCAGTAATTGGGCATTGCACGCACGTTGCTCAACAGATGTTATGCAATTGCCATAAAGGTAGCAGTGTACAGTACCGTACGGTGGCCATGGGTGATATCTTTATACAATGAATAACCCCTGCAATATTACATGTATCAAAATTTTAAAAAGAATCACCACTAAAATTGGCATATATATGATGAAGTGGACTATGTGAGCTTCATAATTTAAAAAAAAAATCGAATTTGGTTTGAGACTACAGTTTTGGACATTTACAAATCTGTTCCTACACAACAAAAGCTAGCTTTTCATGTGGCCTTTTTTTTGTACATAGCACATGTGTAATCCACCGGAATGACCTATGCTAAAAAGTGAGTATTTCTTTTACCGAGTAGGCGATATTTATTTATAGACAAGTTTTAAGAAAAATATTACCACTTGCGGGGGTCACATTTTGGGTTAAAAATCACGTATTATTGCATTTTTGGGTGTTTTTGAAAAAAAATCAGTCTTCTAAAACAAATGTATTCAAAATATGGTTTATTAATATGTATATATATATGTAGCTGTGTTGTGCAGGTTGAATCCACTATCCATGTTTATGTCACCAGGATATACTGTGATCATGGTTAGCCACAGCAATGAAGGCCCACAAGAGACTTCGTTTAACTACTGTACACCTTAAGGAAAAAACACTAAAGTAGACACGGCGTCACACTTATACTCTAAACTTGACGAAAGCAAATGATAGAACTCAAAATATGGTACTTAAGTTGTTTAATTACAAAACATACACAACAGAAAATAACGCTCTCTAGCAAGACAGATATATAAAATAAAATTAAAATAAAAAGTTAAAAATATTTTTTTCATTACATTAAACACAGACACCTATAAAATATCGAGATCATTGTTGACGAAAATATTCCATGAAATTTGCTTACATACATTTCAAACTACATATGTCAGCAATGCTACAATTAGAAGTCGTTAAATCAAAATAAGCAACAAAAAAAAAAAAAAAAAAAAGAACATTAATCGCTAATCCAATGATTCTACTCACAAAGTAAGAGGGAAACTTGTTTGCCATACTATCGATTCGCTTTGTTCTGTGTTCTACGTTAAGGTAATATGATTGTGTCACCATTTCTCAGTAGAATTTCTTCAAATTTTGTAGTTATATTGCTTTGTAGTACAGAAAACTTTCTGCCACAAAAAAATATAGGTTGTCAGAATTTTAAGGATTTTTAAATGGAGATGTATGTAAAAAGGAGTGATTTTGAAAAAAAAATGAAACACACAATATTTTGTAAAATAATGTCAATAAAAATGATACTGCCATAGATTAGCATTGCATTAATATATATAAATTTAATAAATGCTGAAATTGTGTAAAACAAATTATCTATAAACGATTAAAAATTGACATTTTATAATAAAACCATATACACATAGTAATTGAATGTAAGAGTTATCTTTCTTGAAAAACAAATGAAATAGGTAGCCGGTTTCCTGAAATACAGAAAAATGGACACATGTGACTCATTGATAAAAACAACTGAATGAATACCTGGATTGTTTAAATACTTTAATATTGACAGAACAGTGCGGCAGAACACACTGTTCTGTCAATAATAAACATACAATATTCATTACAACTCTACACTCATTAGAATATGCGGAAATTGTGATACTGTCTCCCTACTTTGGATTTTCAACTAGGGATGTACTTCCTATTTCCGTTTATCAATACACTCATTCGACCTTAAGTCAGGAATATTGCGAACAATAAAGTCTATTTTTGTCCGAGACTCGGCTTGATTAATATGCATTTTTGATGAAAACCCGCCTGAAAGAAGCAGTAGCCAAGAAAAGTAAAACACAGTTTTGAAGGTGTATGTTAAACTGCCTTGTTCATCGTTAAATAGTTTACATTGTGAATGTAGCCAAAGTTGGTAGGAAATTTCTGGAACAGTAGGTACAATCAATTAACTACGACGGAATTTACTTTAAAGGCATTGAGGGTTTTCTTGCTTTCATTCTTTACATGTCATCACATCAGTAGATGAATTATAATGACATGTGTTACATCTTCTAAAAGGGCAGGCATTAATTCGAGTCAGCATGTCACGGTCTAGGTATGTTGCAATTAACTATTAAATTACTTGAAATGTCGACAACAATGATTCACCTTTCCCTAAAGAATCAGAAAGGGTAAAAAGTTTACTCGAATATTCCAGTGCTTAACTTACACCTATTTGACTGTATTAAAGGATCCTACTCATCTGTGTGTACGACACATGATATAGCACATAATCTACAAAAAGGTGTTTAAAAAACATTACATTATAATGCAAATCATAAGTCGATTATTACAATCAATGCAGTTTTTGGATTTCGCGGTGGGTGCCTTATCAGGCACAAATTAGTAATCATGTATGCTGGCGGAGCATTTGTGCTCTGTATTAGTACTCGTGTATGCTGGCGGAGTATTCGTGCTGTTTTGAGGAGCTCTCTTATTATACGGATATTTTCCTTCTTAGTCGTTTCTTGTACATCTCTGGCTAAGCATTCTGCTTTCCGGATAGCAGACTTAAATTATAATCAATGGCTTTCTGTTCTTTCGGAAAATGTCCTCGTTTGGCAAATTGTAACGACTTTTTAGCAAGTTTGATGGCCTCGGCCGGCCTCTCGGGATCTTTCAGTTGGGCCAGACGCGACCTGATTGCTGTATACACCATTTTTGCCCGTAGCTCCATCCTTTCCCATAGTTCTGGCCGGTGTAATTCGTTCAGCAGGCGTTCAGCCTCTTCTATGTGGACATCTCTGACCTCGAATTCACCAATGACATTCAGAAACACACCCATGTCTAGGCAAGTGTGTGCTTTCTTCAGCAGAAAAATTCTCTTGAAATCGTTACTGATCGTGTCTGATTCTGTACTGAAGTGTGAAATTACACTGTTTCCAAGTTTCGATAGTTCTTCCTTGTCAATCCTGGTCCGGTCGCGTTCGTGTTTCAGCAACAGGAAGTTAAATTTGATGTAAAGCACGAGTCCCGTCTCCCTACATGCTGGAAGAAGCGCCATCTTGTGTTCAGCGTCTTCTATGTAAGTGAGGCCTTCTTCCAGACTTCCACCAGCCATTACCAGTGCAGATGAGTATCTCGCTAAAAACAAAGTATCAGACGCGATTGGTAAGGAGGTGTGAGCACACATACGGAGGAGCTCGTCCAGTACATCTCCTTTTAGTGGTGTTTTTTCGTAAAACACTCGCCGCCGTTCAATTTCTGCATCATAGGCCGCATGGCAGAAGTCGGCAGCTTTCTGTCTTTGTTGCTGATTAAATTTAATTCTGTGATTATTCACATATTCCCAGTCGCCAATGGCCTTGTCATAGCACTCCCGGAAAGTATCGAAATCTTTTTCATGTGAACATCGTTTCATTTTATGCCGAAAGTCACTCACGTTCTGCCGTCTATCAGTGAACAAATGAACCTTTCTTTGATTATGAACGGTACCGTTACAGCTATCAACACTCTCAAGTTCTTTCTCCAAGTCATCAGCGATATATGGATATGAGTCGTCATGTCGGAGACACTCAATAAACAAATCAAAATGACATTTGTCTTTCAGGGATAAAAGCATGTTATTAACGCGTTCTGGTCGTGCTAGTTTGTTGTCAAAGCAGTTCTCCTCAAAATCAATTCCTTTTTCATAAAGAAATGGTATCATAAACTTCGTATCCAAGGTTTCCAACAACGTGGTATGGTGTATCCGTAAGACATGACGCTCGTCGTCATTCATACCTAAAGAAATATAAATATATATCATATACGCTTCATAAACCTGATATTATCATATACGCTTCATAAACCTGATATATACATGGAAAGTTTTATTGAATGATTTTCATTATGATACATTAACATACATCTGTGCGTTTAAATACGATGCAGATTTTTTTTCACAGTTTCAAGGCAGAGAAAATAAATAATACATAATGCCACTGCATAATAGCGAGGTTGAACACATTGCCAATGAAAGGAAACATGAACAGGACCCCAAGAAACACAAAAAGAAAGGATGATTATCATGAAACCCGTTTTTGCCTTATTTGTTGTGTTATTCTGCAACTTTATATGGATAAAAAAAATCAAAAGAGCTTCAGTTATAATTAATACGTTGTAAAATACTAATATACTAATACTAATACTTTTTTCATGATATTGAACATTTAAAACTTGCACAGAAAACATCGACTTGCTAAAATTATAAATGACGATACAATTACCCTTATAGTGATAAATGTATTATCAAAAATGTAAATCTTTAGTTTTTTCATAGAATGCGTAAAACAGGATATTGAAATGGTGCCAACTTGGTAATTTTTGTGAAATTTTCTGCAGGCAATGGGCAATTTAGTTGTTTGACACATATATTGAAATTTGAATCGAAATGTGTTTCCCGAATCACATAAAAAACCGTCCTGTTAAATATTGACAAGTATCACACTTCAAGTTAACGTTTCTATTAACAAAGAGAAAATGATGAAAAGTCGATTTCTATTTAATTGTTACTAAATTCTAAGCAAAACAGTTTTTGTATTACCACTATAGAAACTGCAGTCCGAAGATATATAACTGGCTTTTAAATGATGAATTCATATTTGGAAAATGTTCTAACCAACATACCTTTATTTTTTATTGTTGTTCAAGGGGCTTAACTTACATTGCACTGCTATTTTAAATTGCAAAATCACATTTCCCCGGTTAGCAAATTTTATAAATACTCGCACTTTATATAAATATCAATGTTTTCCTCAGTAAACAAAAGCTAACACGCTCTTTTCTTTACTTCTTTCTCATTTCTATTCTCTTACCAGCTTCTTTTTCTTTCCTTTTATCCTCCCTTCTTCCTTATAGCAATACAGTGTGATATTAAATGAAATAATACCTATCCATATGTAATCTTTAGTGATACAAATTTCGTTTTGCATAATTTGTATGGTATGAGTGGTGATATGAAAGATGATTGGTGACAAATAGGTTATGATATGATCTGAATGGATTACTGATCCATTATTATTGTCAATGTATTGAAAAAACTATTTTGAAAAAAAAAAAAAAAAGCTAACACGCACTAGAATAAACTTTTCGAAAATTACGGTTTCTCAAGTTCAGCATAGATGTTCTTAAATGAGACTGACTTGACCAAATTCATTTTCTAAATATGTAATATGTATTTTCCCAGTATTCAATCCTTATGCAATTTCTGGTATATAAACTGATACCAAAAGTGGAGAAAATGATAATACCTCCGGGACCATAGTTTTATGGTAAATGATCATGCATTTGCTGAAATATATATTATTTTAAAAACTAGTTATCTGTTATTTCGCTTACAATAATTAATTATAACTTTATGGTGCACATCGAAGGCATTCACTCAAAATAGACTGAATGAGAGACAATAAAGCAATGTCCTCTAGACTGACAGACAAGACGTTCGACATGATGGTCTATTTTGAAGCTCTAGTCTGTTTGAATTTAAAAAAACATAGTTTTGCGGTAAAGATAAGACACTAAACAATAAACCACAAAGTTGGCAAAAAATCCGATTGTTAAGCAATGTTATTCAACAACTATGAATAGATCGCTATACATCGATATTGTCGTGTGTATTAACCAAAGTGGTTCATTGGTTTGTAATAAAATGATACAATAGATTAGTAATTGTACATAAAATCAGAACGTCACGGTCTAGCTACGATATTCTGTTCAGTTAGTTTATATAATGGTATTTTTTTGTAGTGTATAAACAATGGTGAACTAAATAAATAAAAAAAATATGAATTAAAGCACAAAAAAAGTAAATAAAAAAATTGGGTTAAAATTTCATTATAGCCTTTTATGACATAATAAAGGCCTATCGCATTTGTACTGGTGTGCCAAAGGACACATTCCTATCCGGATAAATGTTAGACTACCCTGAACATTTCAGTTTCTAATATTGAAACTATTGGTCTACATGTGTGATGTATATCTGTATGAGATTCGTTTGTTCACTCAACAAGTCAACAGTTTTGTTAACTTAATAATGGATATAATATTAACAGTTGATTGTGGCTGTATTTGATATAACAAAGGTATTGAACTAGGTTGGCTCGCGATAATCGCTTTTTGTTTCATTTAGTTTGATACTTACTTGACAGATCAGAGGACTTGGATATGTGCGAGGATTTCAGGTCAATTCACTCCTCCTATTTACTTCAATATCTAGTCAGGTAGATACCCGGCCATCAGCAAAACAATACAATACATTGTGCATACAATCTTTCTGATCATCGTAACTACACCAGACTTTTGGTATAGTCACACCACAGCTCACATAGGTTACACACGGTAGATTGCAGCACAGTACCGCACTGAATAAATTTTAAAGTTAATCTAACCGATTGTAGTACGGTTTATGTCTACAAGAAGTTTTATGAGGTGGAATAAAAGACATACTCAAATTGAAAGTGATAAAGTTAAAGCCATATTTTTGATATGCAACTTGTTCAATTTTCTATCATTTAGCAAGCCAGCTAAACATTTAAAACAAAACAGTGGTCGCAAAAGTAAAAGAGATATCTTACAAGTGAAATAAAGATAGCTTTAACACAATTTAAAAGATATGTTTAGTTCAATTAGATATATCTCTATTCCAATCAAACATATCTTTATTTCACTCAGAAGCATCTCTTTTTCATTTAAAGATTTATCCAATACACATTTAAAGATAACTGTTTTTATAAGATATCTCCTAAATTAATAATGATATCTCAATTGTTCCATCAGATATCGAATATCTCTTTTGGGTATAAAATGCTAAGTTGTTTTGCAATAATACTTAGATAATGATACGCCACAAAACAATTTGTATCTGCATCAATATATGACGATTCGTTTTGAGATGTGTCACATATAACCAACATACCATTAGGCCGTTGTTATCCTGTATACTAACATATGTACTTGAACGTTCGTGTTAACACACTAAATCTAAGATAAATACAATAGATTGCTGCCCTTTCTTTCTTTCTGGGCATACTGCAAAGCTTTTTCCGCAAAATTTATAGTTATCCATATATGATTGCATCTTCAACCGTCTTACATTGCAGTTCCATCTTATTACATAAAGAAGGCAGTGGAAGAGTTGTTCATGACTGGTATATAACGATCGGTGACATCGCCATCACCAGAGACATTCACAAACACACCCATACCGAAACACATATGTGTTTTTTTTTCTTCAAAAGATGCATCATTTTCAAATCGTTTCTGATCGTGTAATGGCACTGTTTCGTAGTTTCCATAGTAACCGTTTGTCTTTATCAATCCTCGCCAGTCGCGTTCATATCTCCTCGCCAGTCGCTTTCATATCTCAGTAACACCTGCCATTTCTGGTACAGAAAAGTAACGCGTTAAGAATTTAACATAGGTCGATATAGGGGATGATGTGTGGGCAGACATAATTTGCAATTTGTCTAGTATGTCACCCACTTTATCAGTTCATAAGCTGCATGAGAAAATATCTTTATTGTTGTTGGTCATTTTACATGATTTTAATCTTCAATGGCCTTCAATCATGAACTTGGTATCCAGTGTTTCGAGTAACTTGGTGTGGTGTTTCCTGAGGATGCGTCGCTCGGCGTCATCCATACCTAAACGTCGAAAACAAACCCATGATCAGTGTTTCGTTTACGGCTGGACAATACAATAGTATACTGAAGTAAAATCTTGGAAATAGGAGATACACCAATCAATAGCGTTTCCTCAATTATAAAATGTGCTATACGTACTTTATCAAGAATGCTAAATTATGTAGGTATCAAGGTTTTACATAACTACCATATATACAACTTTGTTTAATCCAGCAAAATCCTCTACATTGATGAATTTCTGGAAAAGTGGGAGGCACGATTAGAATAATTAAAAACTGCAATTAATCACAGTATGCGAGATTTGTAGTCTGAATTGAAAGTCAACAGTGGACAATACGACGAAGGTATATATTTCCTGTGTATTATTGTTTGTGCATTATGTGTATCTTTATGCATTTTTGTATAATTATATATGTTTTGTTAGTATTAATATGTTTTGTGTATATACCTTTTTGTATAATATGTGTATAATTATGTATTGTGTGTATAACTATATGTATCATATGTGAATTATTATTAACATGATTTTTGTTTATTACTGTATGCATTCTGTGTGTTTAACTGCATGGGTTTTGTGTGTATAACTGCATGTGTTTTACTGTATGTGTTTTGTGTGTATTACTGTGTTTTGTGTGTATTACTGTGTTTTGTGTGAATTACTGTATGTGTTTTGTGTATATTACTGTATGTGTTTTGTGTGTATTACTGTATGTGTTTTGTGTGTATTACTGTGCTTTGTGTGTATTACTGTATGTGTTTTGTGTATATTACTGTATGTTTTGTGTGTTTGAAAAAACTATTTTGATGTATATTACTGTGTTTTGTGTATATTACTGTGTTTTGTGTGTATAACTGTGTTTTGTGTGTATTACTGTGTTTTGTGTGAATTACTGTATGTGTTTTGTGTGTATTACTGTGTTTTGTGTGTATTACTGTGTTTTGTGTATATTACTGTATGTGTTTTGTGTATATTACTGTGTTTTGTGTGTTTATTACTGTGTTTTGTGTGTATTACTGTGTTTTGTGTGTATTCCAGTATTTTGTGTGTATTACTGTGTTTTGTGTGTATTACTGTGTTTTGTGTGTATTACTGTATGTGTTTTGTGTATATTACTGTGTTTTGTGTGTATAACTGTGTTTTGTGTGTATTACTGTGTTTTGTGTGTATTACTGTATTTTGTGTGTATTACTGTGCTTTGTGTGTATTACTGTGTTTTGTGTGTATTACTGTATGTGTTTTGTGTGTATTACTGTATGTGTTTTGTGTATATTACTGTGTTTTGTGTATATTACTGTATGTGTTTTGTGTGTATTACTATGTTTTGTGTGTATTACTGTATGTGTTTTGTGTGTATTACTGTATGTTTTGTGTGTATTACTGTATGTGTTTTGTGTGTATCACTGTGTTTTGTTTGTATTACTGTGTTTTGTGTGTATTACTGTGTTTGTTTTGTGTCTATTACTGTATGTGTTTTGTGTGTATTACTGTATGTATTTTGTGTGTATTACTGTATGTGTTTTGTGTGTATTACTGTATGTGTTCCGTGTGTATTACTGTATGTGTTTTGTGTGTATTTCTGTATGTTTTGTGTGTATTACTGTATGTGTTTTGTGTGTATCACTGTATGTGTTTTGTGTGTATTACTGTTTGTGTTTTGTGTGTTTTACTGAATGTGTTTTGTGTGTATTACTGTATGTGTTTTGTGTGTATTACTGTATGTTTTGTGTGTATTACTGTATGTGTTTTGTGTGTATCACTGTGTTTTGTTTGTATTACTGTGTTTTGTGTGTATTACTGTGTTTGTTTTGTATGTATTACTGTATGTGTTTTGTGTGTATTACTGTATGTGTTTTGTGTGTATTACTATTTGTGTTTTGTGCGTATTACTGTATGTGTTTTGTGTGTATTACTGTGTTTTGTTGGTGTTATTGTATGTGATTTATGTGTATTGTTATTGTATCATCACTGTTTGTAGTGTTTTATTTTATTAGCTTTGCGTTTGCACGACAACACAAGAATATTGTAGATTAATTCGTGAATATATGTGCAGGACATTACATATCCGATTAATAGTGCAAATGATATATGTGTATGTTTGTCTCGACGTAAACATGAAAGTGAACATTCTTGTACACACACTTACTCACTTTCCGTACCCGATATAATATACTGTGATTATCCCCATGAACACTGTATAAATGATAATGGTTTCTTCCATAAGAATGTCCATACATGTAGCACACACGCATGACAAACGCTTGTTATTGTTCAAGTCAATTTAGTAATTTCGCATTGCGGAAGTAATATTCCGGAAGTGACATTACGTCATATGGTGTTAACTCTTCCAGTTCAAAGGTGTGAACAGTTTCAGGGGTGAATGAGTTAATCTGTCGTAAATGGGACCGCTACTCTATCATTTCATAAACTACTAGGTTTCTGACTTACAATGAGCAGAAGCGAGATCCATCCGGGTATGTTGATAACAAGCTCGTCGCTGGATAAGACTGGAAAACCCGTAACCAAATATTTTCTTTTCACTCAAATGCACTTGTGTGCAGAAATAAGTACACATACAGTGTTAGCTCAGACAACATGACACGCGTGACTATTGGGTGACGCGTGTGACGGTCATTTAAATAATAAGGGGAATTTATATAGAATTTCAAAGGCACAATAGGTATTCTAGAATTGTGGCATGACAGCGTTAAGGTGTAATGGTAATCACTCACCTGTAACGTTTGCCCCATCAAACAGCCAATATCTTACTGTCACCATTAAACGCATTCACATTTTAAAAATTGAATTAATGTACTCTTTATTGAATTAATGTACTCTTTATTGAATTAAACCTCTTTTTACTATGGACATCGCTATTAAATAATGGCTAGTGAATTAATACAGCATTGCTCATGTAAGTTAAGATAGTGACCAGGATGAGTTGTTCTTTAAGCGAGAAAGATGTTAAGGAGGGAGATGACACCTACTGTAGCTGCGATAACGTAGCTTTCTATATTGCGTCGGGCAGAGGAGGCCGGGTATTAATATTAGTACTAGTCACCTACCTGGCCGGCAATACACCCATACCTGACAATGAGCCATTCAACATCCACAGTAGCCAAGCATCAATATCATCCAATACTTCCTATCCTATTGTCCTTTATAAAACTGTCGGCCTCTGTGTGTATTCCAGGACAAATGTAGTAGAAGAGCTCGGTGAAAATAGCATATATTTAGTATACTAACAGCTTTGCTAACATAAATAAGCGAGTTAAAAGTTTTCCTCTCATTCCTGTGCGTATCTGACAGAACTGTCCACCGTAAAAAAGGCTGTCTTACATCCTGTTTCCATGAGTGAAGATGTCACAGTGGGACAATAATGACGTGACGTCAAACGCGAAAGCTACACGGTTCTCCTTTGTTCTTACTTAAAAAATCAAATTTCAACGCGGTATACCCGAGGTATTCATTTACCGATTCTTGCGCAGTTGGTCTCATCTGAAAGCTGGTAAACTTTTCTTTCGAAAAATATGCGTGTTTTTTTTAAACATTTGACCTTTGTGACCTTGAATGTTGATCAAGGTCAACTGGGGTTTTTTTCAAACCTGATAGCCAAACATCTGATCATCCTACAGATCAAATATCACGACTCTAGACCTCCTAGATTTCGGGGAGAAGTATTTTAAGGGTTGTTACCCAAAATATCACTATTGAAATTTGACCTCTACCGAAAACCGGAAGTTGACTTCTGAGACAAAAATGTTTCCTTAAAAATTATGCAATTATATGCTGTCAATATCATACTTAAACAATTATGTAAATGCCACAAATCGTTTTCGAAATATTGTGGTTCATTTAACCTTTGTGGCCTTTAAAGTCTAGGTCAACCCTTTTATCAAACCTAATAGCCAAATATCTTAGCATCTTACTGATCAAATCTCAAGACTCCAGACCTCGTAGAACTTGAGAAGTTTTTTAGAGGTTGTTATCCAAAATAGCACTCTTGAACATTAACCCCTACCAAAAACCAGAAGTTGACCTCTGAGACAAAAATGTTTCCTGAGAGAAATTTGCGAATTTAAACCCTCTACATCATACTAAAATATTATGTAAATGCCTGAAATGGTTTTCAAAATATTTTTGGTTTAAAGATTTTTTTGAACATTTGACCTCTTTGACCTTGCATATTTATCAAGGTCAACCATGTTTTCAAACCTCTAAGCATCCTACAGATCAAATATCAAGACTAGACCTCGTAGAACTTAAGAAGATTTTTAATGCTGTTACCCAAAATAGTGCATTTGATCTTTGGCTCTTCCTGAAACCGAAAGTTGACTTTTGACACAAAAAAGTTTCCTAAGAAAAACATATGTTTTGTTTGTCTACAAAACATTTCCAAAGATGAATTTAATAGCTTCATTACAATAATGAGTTATTGTAATGAGGTAAAAACGGATATGACATCATGGCGGCCATAATGTTTTTTCAATGAAGTAAAAAAAAATCAACAAATTAGGTAAGACATCTGGGGAAACATTTATACCATGTTGAAATGAATTTACCATCATAAACATCGGGGGAAAATTGGTTTTAACATGTTGTCTGCAGTTTGAAAAAGTTCAAAGGAAATATTCAAAGTGTTAGCGATAAATTTTACAGAAAAACTGAAAGCATCAAATTAATTAGAATGGAATTCCCCATCGACAACAGAAAAAAAGATTAAAAAAAAAAAGTTGAAAAATTGGTGACCTTTGACAGTGATAATTTTTATTTGACCTTGTCATAAAAAAGATAGCCCCAAAATAAAGTAAATCTACAAATATTTTAATGGCATGGATAAACGATTTCGAGTTATGGCCATTTGCAGTTTTTAACCTATGACGTCATGGCAGCCATACTGGATGTTTGACCTACTTGAAATGTTGCAAAAACACCTTTAGACATTGGCCTTTAATATGCTTGAAAGACTACTAACATATCTGCTGCCAATCAAAATATTCGGTGGCCTGGCCACAAAATCATGGCAGAAGAATAAGAATAATAAGAAACATAACAAAAACAATAGGTCTTTTCATCATAAGTGAAAAGCCCTAATTATCTTGGTACAAGATGACAGTAATTTTACTATGTCAAGTGATCTCTTAGTAAAGTGATGGAGATAATACTAAAATAAAGAATACCAACCAAATACTAAAGAAATAGTGGGATACAGTTTATGAAAATGAAATATTCTGGAAATTGTAAACCAATCTATTGCCAACAGAAAATGTAGAGATTTCCAATGGACATAGTTTCAACTAATTTTAAGCTAATGAAGATGGGACTTTCAGATGGAAAATATGATTTCTGTCATGTCGACCTCGAGACACAAAAACATTTGTTTTATAGATGTAACTTCACTAAACGAGTATGGAAATTAATTATACCATATATACACAAAGCTATTAACAGTATCTTTCTGTCACAACTAGTTTATAAACTTTCTGCAACAGATGTTATGTTCGAATGCCATAACCTAAACATAAATGTTAACCTAGTTATCAATCTAATGATACTTACAACGAAATGGTATATTTGGAAATCAAGAAATAAACTGAAATTAGAAAATGATGTTGTTGTAAATAATCAATACACTGTAAACAATATAAAACAGTTTTTAAATATGAACATTTAAATATTAAAAAGTTCAAATAAGTATTCCTATATCTGGGAGTCATTAAAGAATTTGTTTGATTCTTAATGAGTAGTGAGATAAGGATAGGTTTAAAGATACAAAACTTAAGCGAAAACAAATGTGTATCATGTATAATGTATTGATTTATTGGTGAAAATTTTACAAAAAATCCTAGAGCTTAGATGCAATGTATAAGTACATGTAAATTGTGATTGGAAAAAATTAACTGCAAACATTGACAAGAATGAAAAAGGAATGAAAGAATGAATGACTTAATAGTATCAAATTTGAATCAATTAACAAGAGGCCCAATGGGCCTGCATCGCTCACCTGGTATTTATCTCACACTTGTAATCTCAAAAGTGGACTAAATACAGCTACAGGCAGAATATCAGTGTTTGAATCATAGGAACCTATTAAAAGATTTAAACATATGATGTCTGTGACCTTGAATGTCAAACAAGGACATTAGGTAGAAAGTGAGTCAAGGTCATTCATTTGAACAGACTTGGTAGCCCTTCATCCCAGCATGCTACAGGCCCAATTTCAGTACCCTGTGCCTTTTGGTTATTGAGAAGAAGTGGTTAAAAGATTTTACGACATTTGCCCCCTGTGACCTTGAAAGTGGGTCAAGGTCATTTTTTTAACAAACTTGGTAGCCCTTCGTCCCAGCATGCTACAGGCCCAATATCAGTTCCCTAGGCATTTGGGTTATTAAGAAGATGTTTGAAGATTTTAAGACATCTGACCCCTGTCACCTTGAAAGTGGGTCAAGGTCATTCATTTAAACAAAATTGGTAGCCCTTCCTCTGTGCTTGCAACAGGCCCAATATCAGTACCCTGGGCATTTTGGTTATTGGAAGAAGACGTTTGAAGATTTTAACATATTTGACCCCTGTGACCCTGAAAGTGGGTGATTTGTTCATTTGAACAAATTTGGTAGCCCTTCATCCCAGTTTGCTTCTGGCCAAATATCATCACCCTAGGCCTTGCGGTTATTAAGAAGAAGTTGTTTAAAGTAAAATATTGACGACGGTGAGCTAAAAATGATACTTTGCATCCATGCAGTTAGAGTGTTTCAGGTTCTTTTAATGACATTAACTATGATGAGAAAGACTTAACAAAATGGGGTGAATACTGGCAGACGGGAATAAAGAGCACGTCTTCTTTTAGCAAATGAGTGAAAGAATAGAAAAAAATGCCTCTTGTGAGGGCCTATTTTTGGACAAGGAGGGAATCCAGGGCTCCTCAACCCTGGCCCACCTTATAAATGTGCTGAGGAGATAAAAAGTCATTATGAAACAAGAGATCCCAGAGGGATCTTGCGCCCACCATCGTACCATCTTCATTAGTTCTATGTCAATTTGATCTTTTCTCTTATCTGTTTGATCAGTTTGCCTGTCCCCCATCTTAATCTTTTTATCAACCTCAAAAGTTAACATACACAACTCAGGACCAAGGGGAACCTTCATATCTAATTTGAGAAAGATTCCTCGTGTACATTCTGAGAAATAGCGGTAACAAACTTAAACTGTAACAAGATGACCGCCTGTCAACATCTTGGTGTTCAGATCAGTCTAAACATTTGATAAGAATAACTAAGAACCAAGAAGAAACCCTTATGTGAAATTTGAGAAAGATCACTTCGATACTTTTTTTGAGCAATATTCAATACAGCCACCTGCGGTTCATCTTGGTTTTCGAATCATCCCCAAATTTCGAAATGCAGAGCTATAGGAACCATGGGGATCACCTTCATGTGAAATATGAGAAAGGCCGGGCCCTGCTGTACATTCTGAGCTTACAAACTTTCATTCTCAAATTCAAGATGGCTGGCTGTTGGCCATCTTGGTGTTGCCATTAGTCCCAAAAAAACAATATGCATAACAAGGGACCATGGGGAACTTTCATGTGAAATTAGAGAAAGATCCCTCCAGTACTTTCTGAGAAATAGCGCAAGGATTGTTGAAGGACGGACTGAATGCAGACGGAATGACCCACGGACCAAGGACGCAGGGTGATTTGAATAGCCCACTATCTAATGATGGTGGTCTAAAAAAAGAGGAACAAACCAAGTGGATTTTTGTAAGATTTTATTGGACGTTTCCATTAAATATCCTTTGGTCCACAGTGACCTATAACATGGGTGCATCAACACTCTATAGAACAAAGCTTCCTCATACACAGTAACATTGGTATCGTATCAGACACAGGCAGGCTTTGGTAATCTTATACTGAGGTGGACGTTTGGGGACATTGTTCTTACAATAAATCTGTAAAAAAACAACCCATATTTACAGTCAGCGTCCATTCTCTGATACTCACAAGACATGTTTCACAACAAAGTGTCCAATACCCTCTACCACGTCTTGCATGGTAAAACACTAAGGTATCTTATGCTGATAAAAGGGTGTGGTGTTTAAGAGAGGGAGTTCATTGTACGTAACATGTTCATGCTACGGGCGATTTACAGTTGCATGTATAAATGTATTTAAATGTTCTTCCTTTCATTTAAGAAAATAATACAGTATGATGTTAGGCTCTGTGGGATACAGTATGATGTGTGGCTCTGTGGGATACAGTATGATGTGTGGCTCTGTGGGATACAGTGTGATGTGCGGCTCTGTCGGATACAGTGTGATGTGCAGCTTTGTGGGATACAGTGTGATGTGTGGCTCTGTGGGATACAGTGTGATGTGTGGCTCTGTGGGATACAGTATGATGTGTGGCTCTGTGGGATACAGTGTGATGTGTGGCTCTGTGGGATACTGTGTGGCTCTGTGGGATACAGTATGCTATGTGGCTCTGTGGGATACAGTGTGATGTGTGACTCTGTGGGATACATTATGATATGTGGCTCTCTGGGATACAGTATAATGTGTGACTGTGGGATACAGTATGTGTGGCTCTGTGGGATGCAGTATGATGTGTGGCTCTGTGGGGTCAAGTATGATGTGTGGCTCTGTGGGATCCAGTATGATGTGTGACTCTGTGGGAGACAGTCTGATGTGTGACTCTGTGGGATACTGTATGATGTGTGGCTATCTGGGATACAGTATGATGTGTGGCCCTGTGGGATACAGTGTGATGTGCGGCTCTGTGGGATACAGTGTGATGTGCGGCTCTGTCGGATACAGTATGATGTGCAGCTCTGTGGGATACAGTGTGATGCGTGGCTCTGTGGGATACAGTATGGTGTGTGACTATGTGGGATACAGTATGATGTGTGCCTCTGAGGGATACAGTATGATGTGTGACTTTGTGGGATACAGTATGATGTGTGCCTCTGTGGGATACAGTATGATGTGGGGCTCTCTGGGATACAGTATGATGTGTGGCTGTGTAGGATACAGTATGATGTGTGGCGCTGTGGGATACAGTATGTGTGACTCTGTGGGCTACAGTATGATGTGTGGCTCTCTGGGATACAGTATAATGTGTGACTGTGGGATACAGTATGATGGGTGGCTCTGTGGGATACAGTATGAGTGACTCTGTGGGATACAGTATGCTGTGTGGCTCTGTCGGATACAGTATGATGTGCAGCTCTGTGGGATACAGTGTGATGCGTGGCTCTGTGGGATACAGTATGTGTGACTCTGTGGGATCCAGTATGATGTGTGGCTCTGTGGGGTAAAGTATGATGTGTGACTCTGTGGGCTACAGTATGATGTGTGGCTCTCTGGGAAACAGTATGATGTGTGGCTCTCTGTGATACAGTATGATGTGTGACTGTGGGATGCAGTATGTGTGGCTCTGTGGGATGCAGTATGATGTGCGGCTTTGTGGGATACATTATGATGTGTGACTCTGTGGGATTCAGTATTATGTGCGGCTTTGTGGGATACAGTATGATGTGTGGCCCTGTGGGATACAGTGTGATGTGCGGCTCTGTGGGATACAGTGTGATGCGTGGCTCTGTGGGATACAGTATGTTGTGTGACTCTGTGGGATAAAGTATGATGTGTGGCTCTGTGGGGTCAAGTATGATGTGTGGCTCTGTGGGGTCAAGTATGATGTGTGGCTCTGTGGGGTCAAGTATGATGTGTGGCTCTGTGGGGTCAAGTATGATGTGTGGCTCTGTGGGGTACAGTATGATGTGTGACTCTGTTGGATACAGTATGATGTGTGACTCCTGTGGGATACAGTATGATGTGTTACTGTGGGGTACAGTATGATGTGTGACTCTGTGGGAGACAGTCTGATGTGTGACTCTGTGGGATACAGTATGATGTGTGGCTCTGTAGGATACAGTATGATGTGTGGCTCTGTGGGATACAGTATGTGTGACTCTGTGGGATACAGTATGATGTGTGACTCTGTGGGATACAGTATGATGTGCGGCTTTGTGGGATACCGTATGATGTGTGGCTCTGTGGGATACAGTATGTGGGACTCTGTGGGATACAGTATGATGTGTGACTATGTGGGATACAGTATGATGTGCGGCTTTGTGGGATACAGGATGATGTGTGGCTCTGTGGGATACAGTATGTGGGACTCTGTGGGATACAGTATGATGTGTGACTATGTGGGATACAGTATGATGTGCGGCTTTGTGGGATACAGTATGATGTGTGGCTCTGTAGGATACAGTATGATGTGTGACTCTGTGGGATACAGGATGATGTGTGGCTCTGTAGGATACAGTATGATGTGTGGCTCTGTGGGATACAGTATGATGTGTAGCTATAAAGCAGTGCTGTAGTATACTGTCATTATAAGAAAGGGAATAGAGACTATTAAGGTTACCGGTAAGTCAATAGGTGTTGTTCTTGTCAAATGGGATTGAGACCATGTGACACGTACATATCACACCCCTCATAATAAGATAACAGAGACCACACACGAGAGAAATGTACTATTTGTACATACAAATATAACAAATCATTAACCTTCAAACATTGCTATTACACACCATTATAATTGTTTGCAATTGTTTCTGCAATTCTCTTAATTACTGCATATATGTCATTATTGGCAATTAAGACAAAATTAATTGTATATTATACATATTACTACGATACATTTACAATCTGATTATGATACATCATACACAAGCTTACCTAAGTGCATGGCTGCTTTAACAGACATCAGCTTTTGAATTATTTCTATGCCATCCCATACACAGATACTGTTTTGACATTATCCAGTTATTTATCTGTGTTAATATTCCCTTTGATCATCCTAATAACACCAGTTTAAGCCACAGCATGAGTTAGAAAAAAAATATCATGTAATTAATTGAATGTTTTTTGTACATTCTAAAAACAGATCAAGATCAAATTATTGTAATACTGTAGTCTTACAGCCTTTTTTCTACCGGATATGATTTTGCCGATCTGCGACACGGTGCCTGTCAAAAATATCTCGCTGTGTAAACCTCTATCACTGTTGGATTATGTATTAATATTGAAGCCTTTTCTTAATGAAAAAAAAGTCTTTTTTTTGTTCAAGCGCATGTCCCATTGATATACTACTGGAGAAGATTTCAAACGGAATAATACTAAAACTACGCGGTGGAAATTAACCGATGAAAATGTGAAGATATGTAAGATATCTGATGAGTACACATACATAAAGATGGTATTGAGTAGTGACATCACACGACATCAGGCAAATTAACCACTTACAAACAGAAGCGAAAATCCTTGTTGTCCTTATATATATGTGTGTGTGTGCAGGGAAATGTTGAATTCTTTAACTCAGTCACCCCTGAAAACTAGGGGACTATTCCAACCTTTGATTTGGAAGAGTTCAAACGTGTCTTCAGGGGGGAATGAGTTAATTTACATCAAAGATGAACCTGCGAACTGTAGACAGATTCAGCTCTCATTTTGTTATTGGTATTAATTGTGATTTTTTTTTTCAATTAACAAATCATACGCTGTTTCAATTAATTACAAATCGACAAAAGTAATAAATCTGAGGAGTGATATGACACATTTTGTTGATTATATCTAAAGTAAGGAAAAGAAAAAAATACAATATCAAGGAAATTGTAACAATTGGTAAAATGGTGATTTACATAAAAAGGGTTACATATGTGCATGCTTTTTTAACATCACACATACTTAATAGGATTTAATAGGATATTAGTGGATAGAGGCAGCTGCCTCTATATACACATGAATATAATTGAAATACAATTTGGTAAACATAAAATAAGCCTATACACAAGACGCTGTATGATCGTACTTCAACTCAAGATCTTTCCAGAATTCGTCCAAGTTTTTCTCAAAGTCAAATGCGTATGGCTTATTCAAAACTACTGTATATTAATTGAACTGTAATCAAATGAAGATATCCCGTTATGTTGCATAAAGATGTGTCTAAATATTGGATAAGAAATACTAAGTACTAGTAATAGCACTGATAGGGAACATGTCGCATGATCGACATACATACTCAAATCTGGCTTCCTATATATACACTAGTGTTACATTAAAATATATCAACAAAGACACTTTGTTTTGCAATCAGTATCATCCATTAAGCTACACGTTTAACATATTCAATTGATTGTACACATGATATAAATATACAAGGTTACAGGAATGTCAATCAAATCCCAAACTATTGAGGAGAACTTGAATTCTGGAAAAACAAATTTCTTTCAATCCAAACATTTATTTGTTTAAAAATACTGAATTTGCTTCAAATTTGAAATAATATTAACATATCAATTTTCTTTATCTAAATATAAGTGTCTACATTTAACTTTACCTATAAGAATGAATTTATTCTCAGTTAAAAGTAAGTTAAAAAACATTGTTTCCTTATTTTTTCTGAAAGTATATTGCTAATGCAGTTGATATTTCTGAACAGAAAGGATATTTTAAAAATGCGATAAAAAACACCAAATAATTTCAATATTAAAGAAAGTTCAATGGCTTAAATTAATTTAGGAAAACTCAATTATTTTTGAGAAGTCATGGCCGGATCATATGATCTACCAAAGGTTTTCATAAATGACCTGTTTTCATTTTGCACCAATCATTTTTTGGTCAGTTGTATGCCCACGATACTTGACAGGTTGTAAAATGCCACAGGGATTTCTGAATTCAACTGTTTTCATTAGAAAGCATTATGCATAAAATTAAGCTGTGATGGTAAGGACTGGGGTGAACCATATTCAAATATTGTTATAAATTGCTTTGTTCATCACACACATGTAAAACTGAACTGCAACGTACAAATAGCATACCAGTGCAAGACATTAAAAGAGATGTAGGCGAGAATGATTTACGTCTCCTGCCGTCATATGCTACAAATATTTTGGTAATACAAGTACAGACTTGAGGGGAAAAAAAAATATTACATTCCACTTCAAAATTAACAATAAAGCTTAAATAAGGAAACTGAATTGTATATTGACAATTGTAATAAAGCAAAGCTAACAATATCAACTGATAATGTTTTAGAATTTCTCTATTCTTGAAGTTAAGTCTGTCTGTCTGTACTGTACATGGATATAAAGTTTTCGTTTCCTATTGCCTATCATTTTCAAGCAACTCCCCAGAGCCATTTTTATATATGGACCATACTAAAACCCAATCTAAAAGAATCATCCATTTACTTTTTATGATAACTCATATCAGACTAGTATTCATTTCTATGCCTCTTTTGTGGATTGATTCAGTATTTCTTTGTTTGGAGCTGCCAAACAGTTATACAATCTGGTACACATGTAAATGTCAACAGAGAAGAGAGTGTCTGAAGTACTGTCTAGTATACATACTTGAAAATGGAAGAAGTGAGTGGTACCCAAACTTTGTCCAGCAGTAATCTAAACAGTATCAAAGAGTTCAGAATCTACTTGGTATAGTACAGCACTAGTATTTACTGTCTTTTCTTGTTTACAGTGATTTATTGAGCATACACTGGGTATTTACATATTATAACACATATCTAATATTTAAATTGGTTTTGGCCCTTGATCATACCATAGAATAGAATTACAATATAATCAATTACTTGATATACTGATGAGTATGTGTCCCATAACCAACCCCAACTGGCTGGTTTTAAATATGAAGGTGATGCTTATTATAATTTCATTCTTTCTTAAAGGCCACAAGCATTTCTGTTCTGTAAATTCGAACTATAGCTCCTGCACCAATAAATTAAAGAAAATGTTAAACTTAAAAAGACACTAATTACCTACAGTATACTCAGAAATTGTTTGTACTAGAAGCTTCAGATCCATATTGCCTATCTACCTCATATTTTTTATATATATATTTTTTTTTTGACGAGAAGTCTACAAAAATATAAATATTTGTACTATTTTCTAAAGGTGACAGCTTGAAATCCCAGGATTTTTAGGTTTTGTTTTCAGTTTTATCTATAAAAGATATTGTACATCATAACTTCTCAGTGTGTGATTGAGCTATAATTCAGAAGCTTGATACAACCCTGTGTTACAGATAGAAACAAAACATGATCCTATCAATATGACATTTGTATTCTGAGGTATTTCTTACATAGCATTATATCAAAAAGTACATTTGCATCAAGCTACTCCGATCAAAATGAAATGAATTTCACTTCGACATAAGAACCTTTAGTAGAAATGTTTCAATCCAATCACTCTTCATTATTAATCATATCTTACTAATATCTATAGTTGAAGCATGCAAATTTTAATATGGAAACAACCTGTACAAATGTGGAAATGCATAAAATGACTGAATAAGTATATTTACTCTTCAAGAGGAAAATTCATTGCCTTTCATTAATAAAACCCTATTGACTGACACAAAACTGTAACTGTCACATCTGGACAAGTTGTAATTGCAAAATATTGTACAATTTCTCAGGTCTAAATTAATAAATAATGTGATCATACCTATAATACAAACATTGCACAGAGGTCAGATTACAAAGTACTGATAAATCACTTCATTCTGCAAATATATATTTCTCAGTCATACTCCATTTCTGTTTCAAAGAATTCAAATTCAACATGATTTTGTTTTATTATGACGAATAATCATAAACCAAATATCAACACCAACTAAATCTACAGACTTTGGTTAAGCATACATATTTCTTTTTTTTTTTTAAATAAAATTTACCATAAAGGTTATTTTTGAAGAGAGCTTAAATATTGAACATAAATCCATGATGTCCCCACAAAAAAAACCTGTTTCTGTGTATTGATTTCATTATAAGCTAGGGTTGAGAGACATAATAAATTGATGGTGTATCTAGGATGGCCAGTTAGACTAGGTAGGATGATCGACCAGTCTTGTTTGATAATCGTTAACATGATTAGTGTCAATTAAACAGTTGACACATTTTCTGCCCTTAATAGGTGTTTGACCAGTGACCCATGAAATGAATGCCCAAATGTTATGTGAATTTTATGATTGGTTCTATATCTATATAACTTGACTGTGTAAATATCATCACCTGTATTTGCTGAGTTGATTTTTGTTTTGTTTATATGATATGCATGTAGACCTACACTGTTGAGGTCAACTTTATCACTAATAACATGGTAAGCCTCTTATCTGCCACTCTAAATTTCATTTAGACCTCTTCATTTTCACATGAACAATTTGTATATAATACATGATGATTTTTTATTTCAATAAAATATTAGCTTATACTCAAGCATATTGTTGATACACATAGTAATTTCTTGTTTCATATTAAAACTCATTGCTACATTTAACAGTCAAAGCACTATTGCAAATCAGGTGAATGATTTCATTTCCAAATCTGGTACAAATGCCATAAAAAAGCTGTAACATTCGAATTGTTACCTCAACTTCAGATCTAATTTTTGTTCAGCTGAGACAAACAGTAGCACCACTAGCCATCCTTGACAAATTCACACCAATGTTAAAATACCCCAAAACAAAAAATTCAACTTTCGACATAATCCTGTGTTTCTTTTTTTACCACTTTTTTTTTAGCTCTACAGCTAAGGGGCCAAGTACCTACTGCCTTCATCTGGAAGAGAATTTGTAGATTGAATACTCCTGTAAACAATGCATCAATTGACCTCAACAACAACATATCACGATTCACAGACACAGTGGTCTACTCTCGTTCACTCAAATCTACGTTTACATCCTTAAACAAAACAGGAAGTAAAAACATCAAAGATTAAAACAAAATATCACAATTCTATTAAGTTCACACACTAATCAACATGCTCGAGGTTTTCCTCCCAAACAAGCACTTCTTTGTCCGACTAGCATCCATGGCAGATTCATTCCCGGGATTGATAAAACAAAATATAACCAGTCTCTGAGTTTTTCTGTAAATCCGAAGGCAATCCGTAAAAGTCTTCTATAGCATTGGAATCAATTTTCTGGAAGAGAAATAAATGTTTCAGAAATATCATAGACCTGTAAGTCACAGATAATCATGACATTCTCAAAGCAGATTTCAGCTAACACTTCCCATGTATTAGCTGAAACCAATGCTTTTAAACGTTAGTACCTTACAGAAACAAACTTTTTTCACAAGAGAATCACCGGGGTAATGTAATCAGGGTAATGTAATAGTTAATACTATACTATTTAATCAAAGGGAAGGAACTCTGTCTCATGCTAGTGTTCACAAATAATACAGTTAATACTATACTATTGAATCAAAGGGAAGGAACTCTTGTTTCATGCTAGTATTCATAAACACAATTAGAAACTAGAAATTGTTGGTAACAATCTGACGGACTTTTCATCACAAACCTTTTTTATGCTCGTGGTTTTTATCTTCTTTGAAGAAAAGTTCAAGTTAACCATATTACTGAAAGAAGCTTTGTTTTTCGTTTAAAATTAATCAAAATACTGATACAATGGCAAAATTGAAGAAAAAATAAATAAATCATAGCTCCCTTACCTTTATATAACTTGAGTCAAGAGTCTCACTATTTTTACAAACTGATTTTCACACAATACATGTACCTTTAACTTTTCTTTCGAAAACTTCCTTGACATAGTCTCTAAAATGTTTGGTAATTAAAATTCATTTGTTGTTTTCTTGAATTTTGGTCAATGTTTTTAAGATATTAAAATGTTCAATCCGCTTAAGATTTTCATAACTATATTTTCTTGAATTTTCAAAATCCCCAAAAAAAGTTGTACTTTTTAATTTTAACTTTGTTCAAAAACCTTATGCACGGAATATGGTTTATAGGAAAACCAATTTTACGCACTCAATTAAAAGAAAACACTTGTATATTGATATTACGCAACCTTATTCTGGATGATTGTTTAATATGAAATGCGAGATGGACTTACATCAACAATATCATCGTCAAACAGGAACCAGAAGCCGTCACTCTTAACAATACTGATGTAGTGTCCTCGGTTGAGGCTGCTGCCGATATGAATCACCACGGCTACCAGGTCGTACATTCGGTCAGGGTTACAAGCGTCATCCGACTAAACACAAATACGTTTCATTTTAATATCTTTACTTTCCTATAAGCTTAAGAAAAGTCCAATTCTAATTTGTTAACGTCACAATTAATAGGGTTCAAATACGAATTAGAATTTTTTCACGACAACCTACACATGTCCCTGTCTGTGTATTTGATTCGTTACACCAGCAATCCATAATGTAATACATTTTTTATTTTATGAAAAAGAGACAAAAACTATATTTGTTAAAATATATACTTTGGAATAAAGTGAATTTATATCATAGTTATATGATAGTCTTAAGTCTACTAGAATTGGATTGGTCACTTACTGTATTAAACAATCGTAACTCTAAGGGAAAGACAACTCTGTATGACAACTTGGTAAATCGGTTCATCTGTTCCATGTACTTGAACCTCTTCAGGTGCAGAGCCAGAATCTGAGGCAACTTTTTCACTCTCATCCTAGAGAACAAACAACATAGGGTGAATTGGTCTTCTTAGAATGTGGTTAACTCATTCATCCCTGAAATTTCATAATGAACTATTCCAAACTTTGAAATGGAAGAGTTCAAATGTGTCTTCAGGGGTGAATGAGTTAAATAAAACCAAATGTACAATATTGCAAAATTCACATCAAGTCATCGTATTAACGTAATTCTGACTGGTAATGACTTATATAGTACCGGTATATGATGACAAACAAGAAATTTTGACAATTATCATACAATATATATTTAATACTTTAAGCAGTTTTCTAAATTTTGAAAAGGAATATTCTTATTTTATAAACATATTTTTCACAAGTTCAAAGGACCAGTTAGGTTAGGTGATTCACTAGTCCTTGCTGAAATCTACTAGTCCAGGACTAGTGGACTAGTGTTAGCGTCGACTCCTGCTGTGGATTCTAACCTTTTCTGGGCCTCCTGTTTACTACAGCATCCCTCGCAGTAGTACTTGTGCTCTGCACAAAGGGTCTCTGTGCTGCTGAAACCCCGCAGACAGTGTGTGATAGAGGTGTTCTGTTCTACGTCTACAGACAGGTCTAGGAAATCCTCATCCTTACTGCTGACCTGCAAAACACAAAATCCAACTTGGATTAACATCAACAACTGACATAATGATAGATATTCTCTTAAAAGTGGTGGTTTGTTGTCAGTTGATCGTGATAGACAAGGTATATAGCGTACAACAATAATGTAAGTCAATTTCCAAATTTCAAAAAGTCACAAGGTCTTTCATATAAACACTGTACATATGTGTGTATCTCAGAAATACTGGGTAGAGCTGAGGTTAGGACCGGAGTTAAGCTGACTCAAGTGTATTATGACTAGAGATTGACCTTCCTGAGCATGGACTTTCTCTATCCAAGATAAAAATTGCTGTAAGCCCAGTCACTCTGCTGAACACAGGTATTGAAGAAGTATCTTTGATTCAAGTACTCCCACTTAAAAGATGTTCCAACTTTAACCACAGAGAATTAATCCTGTAAACTGTTTCTTCTTGAAATACAGTATTCAAAAGGTAAGCAAATGCTTCAAGTGATACTCAAGTAAACAATCCTATGGGCCTACAATACCCTATTTAAGGATAAGGAAAGGTTACATCTACCCATTGCAATCCCATAAATCACAGAGGCTGTTTAGAAGTACGTCAAATTGTCTAAAACTTTTGAAATCATATGTTTTGAGACTATATAATGATATTAGGTCAACAAATTATATCAGTAGAGCTCCGCTGTGCATTGACTATACCACTCACCCTCTCCGTCTTCTCACTGTTTTACCCATTCACCCCCCAAGTCACAATTGAACCTTACCAAATCAAAGACTGGGCAAGTCCATTTTAGAAATATAGGGGTGAATGGGTTAAACAAACCGTTTTCATAGTTCCAACAACTGATCATTTTGGTCATTATTTCCACTTGTTCCCTGTGTGCACTTCTACCATATCAGTGTATACAAACGTCCCCGAGTGTCTACAACTTTTCCTCTCACAGTTCATACATATTGTCTTCAAAAGTTCTGTCTCAAATAAACAATCCCTATGACTTACCGTCTCACAGTTTAGACACCGTGTCTCGTTCGTGAATGTCCCCTGGAACAGGTCCTCCACCCATGTGGGTTCTGACTTGGAACCAGGCTGGTTATCACTCCCTCCATTCTTTGGCTTAGTTCCCTGTTTTTCTGTAATTATTAAATAGGACGTTTAATGGTACTTTATAGGAGTTTTACTTGATTTCTGTGGTGTTTATACTGTGTAAGGGGTGATTATAAGGTGTATGCCTTAATACATGTATAGACATTATATAAAACCAAGCTCTTGATTGACCATGATTAGGGTTTCCGATAGTCATTTTATCTAAGTTTATTTGCTACTTTATCAAATCTGTATCAACTGGTCTTCACTCATATACAATAATATTACATTTCAGATATACACTAAACATGGATCTCCATAACATTGCATGATTAGATATCTGGACAGCTGGTATATAAAATCTACACATCAGGTCATTTATCATCCCTATATATAGAAGTCAGTGAGCATTCACATACAGATGTCAAAGAGTCCCCCTGTATAGAGAGGTCAGTGCACCCCCCCCCCCCCTTCCCGGTATTAAGGTCAGTGAACCACCTGTATACAGAGGTCAGTGATGCTCATCTGTAAAATATAGAGATTAATGGTCCCATCTATGTTTAAAGTGGTCATTGACACACACACCCTCCCCTACGTATACAGATGTCAGTGATGCCCATCTGTACATGGAGGTCATTGCTTCCCATCTGTACATAGAGATCAATGGTTCTACCTATTGCCAGTCATTGGGTGCTCGGGTGATACACTGGATAATGCACTAGCCTTTCACCAAGGTAACGGGGGTTTGATTCCCAATCACACATAACGGTATTAAGTAGCCTGTTCGACTAACTGGGTTTTCTCCAGGTACTCTGGTTTCCTCCCACGTTAAGACCATGCATGCTACCATCTGGGCTAACAAGAGTGATTTATTTAAGTTGAAATAACTTGTTACATGATTGTTGTAAAATAAATAAAGTTTATATTTGGTCCCATCCTTAAAAACAATGGTCTATCATTGATCCACCCTGTGTTAGTGTACTAAGGTCATCGAGTCTAGTAAAATGTACCTTGGAGCAGCTCGGACACCCTGTTGAGTAAGTAGTTGAGGAACTCATGTGCATCTTGCTGCATGTAGTTGTCGAAAAGTTCTGTGCAAGGAAAGATGCATCTTATTACTACCAACATAAGGTGATTTTACTTAAAAATTACCATTATGACTCAAACACATAGATTAGCCCTTCATATGAATTGTATCATTCTTCACTTGGCATTTTTAACATCAATTTGCAAAAATTAAATCTTTTGTCTGTAAAAAAGTCTTGTTTTTCCCTAAAAAATATTTTAACTCATAAGTAAAATGTAAGACATGGAAATGGAAATTCAGAGTAAAAAGCATCACACTTTCAATCTGCCCCGATCAGCATATGCATACCATATTCCTTGCGCAACCTTGTGATGAATTTCTTTGGAGCAATAGTTCCGACCTTCTTTTTCTGCGTTGCTATGTTGTAGAAGAGGTCGGCTAGACAGGTCAGCAGGCTCTCCTTCTTGTTGTTCTTCTGGTGTTGTTTGTACTGCAACACCTTCTCTCGGAATGGCCGACAGAAATACAGTGCTTGTAGAACCGAATTACAGTAACAGGTGTTACCAAACTGAAAATACACGAAGTCATCTAACTCTATAGTTTCTAATATGGTCACTTCAACAATATATTATATATATATGCACAGGTTCAATTACATGGCAATGTAATTAATTAAATCACAAATCCAGCATCGCTGACCTCTGTATACAGGGGGATCAATTTGAATAAGTTTTAATTGATGTGAAAAGCTTCTTTACTATAACGACAATTTAACATGTTCTAATATTTTCAGTCAAAAGTTTTAACTAGAACTACCTGTATAACATTTTAAAATTATATTAGAACTTTGGTTGCTGGATTTGTGATTGAATTAATTACATTGCCATGTAATTGAACCTGTGCATTTGCCTGCAGGCATTAATAGGCGCAAGGAAAGACAATGGCCATGAGTGATAGAGGTGTGCATTTAAAACTGCAATAACCCAAAATATTTGAGAAAATCTGATACAGTTTAAAGATTTAAGAACTAATTTGATAATGGCCTACTATTGAAATAAAATTTGAAAAACTTGAAAATGGATAGTAGTACTTTACAGTTTATGAAGTTTAGTGGATAATAAAGATAGCCACACTCCTGGGAAAATCTTTGCTCAAGTGCAGATAAATAATCACCTGGTTGATAGTTTTCCCAGGGGCCGACACTAACACTATAGTCCGCTAGTTCTGGACTAGCAGATTTCAGCAAGGACTAGTGAGTCACCTAACTAAACTGGTCCTTTGGACTTGTGAAAAATATGATTATAAAATAAGAATATTCCTTTTTAAAATTAAGAAACCTTTGCTCAAGTGTGGATCACCTGGTTGATAGTTTTCAAACTATCTCAATCTGCGTGACAATGTTCCTTAAATATTTATTTTATGGCTGTTTTGTGCCATTGTCATCTGATCTGTGTTCCCATAAATTATGCAGTTTGTAACTAATTAAGAAGATGTCAGGCCAAACAGCAACAAATGAGAACTTAGAAAATCTGTTGAGTGATAATAAGGACAGTAATTATAATATAAAAATAAATATATAAGATATTTGAAGATTTTTTTTAGCTAATGTGTATTTTTTTTTGCCAAAATGTTGGAAAAAAAAGGATTGGATGCAAAAAAATACCATTGGTTGGGAAACCAGAAGAAAAAAATATTTTTCTGCCTTATCAAAATTATTTGCTAACAGCATTTTACAGTGAAACACATACATGATGAAAATGAAAGCATCGACTAACACAGAGCTGAGCTAAAGAGAAATTCCCTCTAGCTCGAAGCTAGAAGACGACCGTAATCCTATATGCACAATTAAAACCTGCAACAAATGTATTAAAGTACATTGTACCTATTCAAAATTAAGAATGATTCTATAAACCAATACTTACATTCACTAATCCGAAGTAGTGTTCATTTGCAGGCAACTGTTCGGATCCAATTTCCTTCTCTAGCTGGGAAGCATTGTTTCCCTATAAAGAAATTAAGAAAATAGTGTCAGGTGATGAACAAATGTAATTTCACTTTTCACTTTCAAGAAATCACATAACAGTAATTGTGCACTTCGAAAATGATTTACCTTAACTCCTTTCTCTCAACATTTCAAATTTACACAAAAAAAAATGGTTTCCTACCTGATGAATAGAGTCATCTATTGAAAACGCTCATGATATACATTTTGTATAACCAACTCAATTCATCACTCCAAGAAACTGACAAAAGCAAAACTCATTCTTTGATTAAAATTTGATCTGGCCGAATGCACTATTGTAATTAACTTCTTGTCACCTGTACATGTCTGTCTGGTCTTTGCTTAGCTAGATCTAGACCTCAATATTTTTGCCAATTTCATACTACAGAACATCATCGGGCTGTGACATTTTACCAGATACATTAAAGCAGATATATTAACGGGCAGTAAAACCTGATGAAAAAAATACTAGTCTCATCTGGCTTATCAATAAGCTGTGATGAAATGTCCGACATACAAATGCAAGATGATCTAAGAATCGGGTGGGGTGGGGTCATGTGAGAGTGGATGGTTGATAGGGACCACACTGTGTTTTCAGACTCAATAAACGTGCAGTTACCACGAAGCCTAATATCCATCGTGTAGTAATATAATGTACAAAAGGTAGCTACTTAGTTTTGGTAAGTGATATAATCAAATTTTACATAACATATTTTTAAAATCCATATTGACAATTAACAGAATACGTGGCTTTTATATTTTCTAAAAATTGACCTTTAGTTCGCATTATAGTGTAATGACACGGACTTAGATAATCTAATTCCGTGGTAATGACCATGATGACAAACTTCAAAAAATATTATTTGAACTGGCGAAGGATCAAATATGTTTCTGAAGGACCTACAATGTAACTTAGCTACTGGTCAGTAATAGGACAGTCTCACAAGTCGAAGACTTACAACGTGCGAACAGTAACAATATTATATAACATATGCAACTGGAATCATAAAGAATGTACGTCCGGACAGTTCGATTTAAAAACATTTCATTTTATTTAAATCAATAAGCGACACACATTATTTTACACAAAATCAACCGAATATGTCTTCATTTCTTGTCAGCAGTCAGCTTTTGAACATACTGTCAGCAAGGATCAAACATCAATGATCTGATCATCAGGACGGAAATGAAAGTTCCACTGTTACGTATACATGGTTATATCGTCAAACCAAGAAAACCTGAAACATGTCTCGACAACGCTGTGCGAACCGGCGTCCTCACATAACAAATAACTAAATGACGATATCAAAACTACAAACCATAGTTGTGGATCCTCACGGTACCTAAAATGCTTCAACAGTCTTCGTTTATTTACACCGGCGCCATATTTGTTCTCATGTCATGTCTAATAATGGATCAGAAGCACTTGTTCCGGAAGTTACTCCGACTTTCATTTGAGTTATTTCCCTTTATTGGCGAACAGCCGTTGTTCGGAGTAACTTCCTTTCTTTCGAATATTGATTTACTTTGAAGAAGAAAAAAATCTGATAATTTTGATCACTTGAAGTTGGATGCCTGATACTAAGTTCTTAACTAGGGGAGATAATTCAGCTAGTAGTAAAATGAAATGGAGAAATTCTTCATAAAAACGCAGGTTTTAAAAAGAAANGGGGAGATGCACTTAAGAGCAAAATATTAACACTAAGTGAACAAAAAAAAATGAACTTAATGGCAACAAATCACATATTAGCAAAATCTTTTGCACTTAAATACAAAAAGCACATAATGCAAACACTTTTTCTTCATTATGTAGTGATCTTTTCACATTATATACCTTCGCACTTTCGTACAAAGTACAAAAAAATATCCTCATACCCCTTTCAACAAAATGAATGATTCCAGTACCCATTTTTGAAACGTTTCTAACACTTCAATGGAAAAAGTTGTTTTTGCAAAACAAAAACAAAAAACATGTTTCACTTCATTGATTTTTTTTGGCTCTAAAGTGCGAAAGAACAAATAGTTAATGATAACTACATAATGACTAAAAGCTATGTAAAAACCATTAAGTGCAAAAGAACAATTATTTAAAGATTATCAAAATATGACTACATAATGACAATAAGTTTGCCATTATGTCAGGTTTTAAGTCCGTGACTGATGTACAGAAAACGTTTATTTTACCTCAAGTGAAAAAAGGTCGTTTTTGCACTTAGGTATAAATTAAAATGACATAATGGCGAGTACTTTTTATCATTATGTAGTGATCTGTTTACAGCAAATACCTTTGCCTTTAAGTTATGCAATACAAGGTACGTACTACATCGCTCATTGGTTAACCAATCCTAGAGCTTGATTTTAGAACAGTCGAAAAAGACTTTGGTGGGGGAATTGCTTGTTGGAAGTCTCTTCCTGTTAATTTTACTTAATGTTTTTTACACTTAAGTGCAAAACTTTTACACTCAAGTTAAAAAGCACATATTCAACATTACGGTTTTTTTGCACATAGTGCAAAAGTTTTTTCGCTTAAGTAGACATCAATGAGGTATTTTATCCTAAAACGGCCGTCCATAGTCTAAAGCTTACAATGGGCAAAATACCTGGTCTTGTTTCAATTGAAAATCTCAGCAGTGACATATATATTACGATGCATACAGTATATTGGGCACACGAAAAAATGGCAACGAAGAGTAAAAGTCACTTTTGGATGATGGTAGAAAAACATAACCTCAATTCTTTCTAGTTTAGCGAACTTTCTGTAAACCGAATTTGCTATGTATACGTGAAACACACATGTTGGTATATATAAAAGCCTAGCTAGCATTGACTATCGTATTTCTGTAATATCGGAATTTATTGGAATATCGATATTGGCAGGTTCAGTCCATTACACCGGGCCAAATTCGGCCCATGTCATGAAATTGGCGGGAAATCCGACGTTGTATTCGCTATGACGTCATAATTATGCTGAATTCAACATGGGCCGAACTCGACCCAGACTGTCTGTCTGAACTTTCCCCATTGCGAGGCGGCCACCCAATCTTTCGACAGAAAAAGTTGAATAATCATTGATAACGGACATTTTTGCTCTTTTGTGATTAGTACGGAATGTGGTATTTCTTCAAATGCCATACTGCCCAGAACCACGGATTCCGTGCCAGAACGGCTTTATAAATAAAAAGGGGCCGAATATGCTTCGGTCTCCCCTTCTGGAAAATGTTTTTTATTTACTGTTTCAATATGAAAACGCTTACAGTTTGGTTTTGTATATATACATATTAACACAGCCATCACCATAAAACGACACTCTTTTATGAAATATAAAAAATGATTGTAAGCCTTTTCTTTCGTTTCAGACAGAAGTAACATTTTTCATTACATATTGAAGTTATCTCATAATGTAGACGTTACAATTTGCAAAATTTAAGGAAAGCGTATCTAGACGTACGTATATAATTAATACTATTTACACGTATCTGCTATAATTCATATTTCCTGAAAAGTTGCCACCATCTATTGGAAAACAAATGGACTGAACCGCCCGGGATAAACAGTAATTTAATAAATAATTTATTTATTGCAAACGGAGTTATATAGAATTCTGGGGGTCTGATTGGGAAATAAAAAAAAATTGTCTGGCCATGCGGCCTAATATTGTGTTCGTATCCTATTTTTTTACAGTCTACCATGTAATTATAGGCGTATTATTAGAAAAGCGTTGAAAAAAAAAAGATTTGTGTTCCATAAACACAAATAAATAAATGTCTATATAACACCACGGACTTAAATCTAATTCCGTGATAACACTATCTCAATAAATTATATTTTTGGTCGTCCCTGGCGCTCAATCAACTGTGTGTTTTTGGTCGACGACTGCATCATTCAGGTTCCGTGGCGTATTCTATGACTACGCATGCCTGACAATTTCCTTTTTCTTCCGGTCGGCCATACTGTAAGGTGCGAATAAAGTTTGTCTACATATTCTGTATTTTCTTCATAATTCGATCCGAATTTATTGTTTTGTAATACTTAATTGGATGTTTAAACACATATTGGAACTGACTTCATATATATTTGATGTGTAACAATGATTGGAATACAAGAATCCCCGACAATAAATCGTTGGTTACAAACCACGTGTACTCGGTAGACCTTAAGCCGAATTACGAGTTGAGCCCCTTTGAATCATTTATCTGCTGTCAAAGCATGTCGCTCATGAGTTGTCGAAGATTTTTGATTTATAATAAAAAAAATAAAAATGGATTTAAATGCATTATATCACTTCAATATAATGCGGTCAGTATTCATTTCTAATTGCTGCTTCTAAGTTCTCTGCACCACGGGTTTAAGCCTTGTCCTAACTGCAGTAGGGCTTTTCCTGGTGAACAAAGTGCTAGAAATTAGGTTCTATAGTTGCCAGGCTGTCATTGCAGGAAGGACCTGTCACCACTGACAACAATAAAGCAGCCAAGCTCTTAAAGGAATTTTTCTTTTGATTACTGAAAATATATTAAAGCCAGATGACATCTATATGGTCCTGTACATTTAAAACTAGTCTCAAATTATATGATTTTTAGTCCCCAGTCATGTTATATTATTAGCTCCCAGTGAAATTGTTACTTGAACCACGGAATTAGATTCCGTGCTTGAACTTGCCATTTTGCACAAGATAAGTGTTGAATACATCAAACTGAAAATTTCAGCTCTGATGGAACTATACAAAATTCAGAAAAACTGTTGAATCAATAGTGCCAGTAACGGGAGATTTAAAGGAAGAAATACTTGTGTGAACTGTATATAGCTGGAGTTCAATGAAATGATTAAAATCAATAATAGTATTTCAATGTTTCATTTAAACCACTATACTTGTCAGCAAAGACAAAAATAACAAAGCTATAATGTGTTTCCATGTAATAATACTGCATACAAATGTTAATAACCTTGAACTGCACTATAACATGTCCAGTACACTCTGCCTATTGAGCTATATAGCTCTATTGACCTATCTGAAATAGGTCTTTTGAGCTATTTTCAAGTGATTTTCTTTTTTTAAGGAAAAGTTGCTTTTAAAAGAAGATTGTATCATTAGGTTGATAACATAAGACATTTAATATAAGTATTCTTTTTAAGAAATAATGATTTTTTGTAGTCACCATTACCAAAACCTGATTGCTTTATGCGACTTTGCTTAAATTTAATGAAAATTGAAATCTGAGAAAATATAGCTCAATACAGCTATAATTTATAGGTGTATATAGCTATATAGGTCTATATAGCTATATAGCTCAATCGGCAGAGTGTACTGGACCTGTATAAGGTGGCAGTACCCAAATCGGATCACTTTTTGCAAAAATATTTGTAAATAAATAAATGTGTCAACAAATCAGTTATAACAATGATGTAGTCTTAGAATAGATAGCCATGCACCATTTTTAGACTACAGATAATTAGTTTTTAAGTTCAAATAGTGCAAGAAAACGTAATTCATACTCAAATGTCAATGTTTTGATTACGTTTTTAAAAAATGGTGAGTGGGACAACTAAGCACTCTGTTTTGGACTATAGGAATAAATTCACACTATATAAATACTTTTTGTCATATAAATTCTAAAGGTCATCATAAAATGTTAATATGCTAACAAAAAAATATTCATTTGAAGCGTACGATACTGCAAAATTCAAGCCTTGGTCCGATTTGGGTCCCGACATTAGCAAAAATGATTGGTGACTTCAGGGAGTTCAAAAAATATCTCAAGTGAACCCTGGGTGCTAATTTCGTTTGTGAGAACACGGGGGTCCATCGATAGTCTATTTATAATTCCTCCTCAGATTTTTCAATGATTTAATAAAATGATGGTTTGGTGATCCGATTTAGGTACTGTCACCTTACAGATCTATACAAAGGAGAGCAAAGATGAAATTAAAAAAGTTAAATTCAACGTGAATATTTCTGCAGCCTTACTCTCAGAATATAATGTCACAAGTCAGCACTGTAACTGTTCTACTAATCTGATAAGGTTAAGAAAAGTTTTTTATTGAGTTGTGTCCAATTTTTACAAACCACTCAGCTTGCTGATGATCATGAGCCAGCTCCACTTGTTACAGAAAAGGGTCGTTGATGGAATATCAGTAAATCAAACAAAACAACTTCACCCTTGTCTCAGACTTGAAATAAGTGCCCATGGAAAACATAAGATAACATACATGTTGACCACTGACTCACAGCCTTCTTTCATGAACACTAGATTTGTAAAATGTACAATAGTGTATCCTTTTGTTTTTCATTCAGTGAAAAAAATAATGATATCAAAAACATGCTCATTTAATGTTTACCCTGATTTTGTTTGGATCGTGGAAATGATAGAAATACTCATTAAAACAAATTATTTACCGACATGATCAGTTTTCATCCTGACTGAATATGTTGGCGGTACCAAATTATGTCTTAGAACAAAGGGAAATATTTTTATGGTGCAAAATCAATGATGAAGAAATTTTGAATCTCGTTAATATGATTATTGATGAAATCAACAAAGCATTTCTGAGATCAGCATCATCTAAAGTTGAGGCTTTTATGTCGGTCCAATAGCTAAGGTCATATGTTGAGTGGACTTCTTATATAGGACACAACACTGATTTTGGCCAAGATTTGAATTTAAAAAGTGAAGTAAAATATTGTCTTTAAATTAACATTTACAAAGTAAATATTTAAATTAAATTGTAAATATTGATTTAAAAATGTTCACAAGGTTATACTAAAAACCAAGCCAAAGTGTGCGTGCCATCACTTATTTCAATGGCACAGCACTATAAATTACTTCTATGCAACACATTTGAACTCTTTTAATATCTTAAAGTTACATGTTTCTGGGCAGATTTTATTCAATGATTTGCAAAAACCTTATTTGAAATGCAGCTGTTCTTTAAAATGTTTAAACAATATTGCATTTCATTTCAGAAGGCATCATGACGAACACCAAGGGATATAGGCGCGGTACGCGCTACATGTTCTCCCGTCCATTCAAGACAAAGGGAGTCATTCCATTGTCCACGTATATGAAAATATACAAAAGGGGAGACATCGTTGACATAAAGGTAACGAGTTATGCTACACTGAATACCTTAGTTTGTCCTGTATCACATTGGTTTGTTTTATCTAAGAAAACATCTTAAAAACGATGGGACACTAATTGTGAAACAAGGTTATCAATTTATATTATCTCTCTTTTTAATATTGATGTGAACCCATACCTTTTAACATCCAATCGGGGGATAAAACCCAAACTAACCGTAGGTGAAAGGCAAGTGTCCCATATACTGCACCATCTGACCATGGCCACCAGATATACGTTAGGAAGAGGTTCGATACTTGGAAAAAGAACTTCCTCGTATTTGAAGACAAGGTTGTGCAAAAAGTTAAAAGGTCTCCAAAAAGACACATTTGTGTTGAAAAAATTGCTATATCAATGAATGAAGTTTTTAATGTTGTGCACCATCTTTTAAAAGGGCCACGGAGCTGTACAAAAGGGTATGCCCCACAAGGTTTACCACGGAAAGACTGGGAGGGTGTTCAACGTGACTCCTCATGCTGTCGGCGTTGTTGTTAACAAGCGTGTAGGGTAAGATATGTTTTCCATAAGAATATTTTCTAATAAATAATAAGATATGATATCACCAGATTTTAGTTTATCTGTTTTATATATGGCAGTTTTTCTGACTTGGACAATCATATTTTTTCTTTCATTGATTGGTCAAACTATATGTTAAGTAAAGGTATTTTCACCATTTAAAAAAATGTCTTGATCAACTCACCATTGTCCGTAATTTATTGTTTAAAACCAGACTACCAGTAAACCAAAACAATCGTGCTACATGATTTTAGACCCGGACATTTTCAGCTCACCTGGCCCGAAGGGCCAAGTGAGCTTATCCCATGGTGCAGCGTCCGTCGTCCGGCGTCCGTCAACTTTTTCCTTTAAAATGCTACTTGTCCTGAATGGCTCAGAGGATTTTGACCAAATTTGGTCAGGAGCATCATTGGCCAAAGGGTTCTCAGTTTTGTATAAACGGAGGGTATAACCCCCCTGGGGGCAGAGGGGCGGGGCCAAATAGGGGGAAAATAGGTAAATCTTTAAAAATCTTCTTCTTCTCAACCAATAGAAGGATTTTGACCAAATTTGTCCTAGAGCATCTTTGGACAAAGGAGACTCAAGTTTGTATAAACGGAGGGTGTGGCCTCTTTGGGGGCAGAGGGGCGGGGCCAAATAGGGGAAGTAGAGGATTTTTTCTCTCCTACTATACAAGTGAAGGGATTTAAACCAAATGCAGTCTGAAGCTTGGTCAGGAGCATCATTGGCCAAAGGGTTCTCAGTTTTGTATAAACGGACGGTATAGCCCCCCCTCGGGGCAGAGGGGCGGGGCTAAATAAGGGGAAAAAAGGTAAATCTTTAAAAATGTTCTTCTTCTCAACCAATTGAAGGATTTTGACCAAATTTGTCCTAGAGCATCTTTGGACAAAGAAGACTCAAGTTTGTATAAACGGAGGGTGTGGCCCCTCTGGGGGCGGAGGGGCGGGGCCCAATAGGGGAAATAGAGGATTTTTTTTCTCCTGCTATACAAGTGAAGGGATTTTAACCAAATGCAGTCTGAAGCATGATTAGGGACAAAAGAATCAATTTTGTATAAACTGAGGTGTGTGGGCCTCCTTCTAAGGGCAGATGGGTGGGGCCCATTAGGGGAAATAGAGGAAAACATCAAATATCCTTCTCCTTTTGTACCGATGAAGGGATTTTGACCAAATTTGGTCTGGAGCATCATTGGCCAAAGGGTTCTCAGTTTTGTATGAACGGAGGGTATGGTCCCCCTGGGGGCAGAGGGACGGGGCCAAATAGGGGAAAATAGGTAAATCTTTAAAAATCTTCTCCTCAACCAATTGAAGGATTTTGACCAAATTTGTCCTAGAGCATCTTTGGACAAAGGAGACTCAAGTTTGTATAAACGGAGGGTGTGGGCCTTCTGGCGGCATAGGAGCGGGGCCCAATAGGGGAAATAGAGGATTTTTTTTCTCCTACTATACAAGTGAAGGGATTTAAACCAAATGCAGTCTGAAGCATGCTTAGGGAGAAAAGAATCAATTTTGTTTAAACTGAGGTGTGTGGATTCCCCTTCTTTGGGGCAGATTAGTGGGGCCCATTAGGGGAAATAGAGGAAAACATTAAAGATCCTTCTCCTTCTGTACCGTTGAAGGGATTTTAACCTAACCAAACTTGTTTTAGAGAATCTTTGGGCAAAGGGAATTGAATATTTATAAATGGAAGATGCAACTTTGTTACTTGTACTCCTTTGATAAACCTGAATGGTACTCAGCAGGTTTTAAATTGAAAAATAAAATACCAGGTGAGCTATTAAGGCCCCTGGGCCTCTTGTTTCTCTCTCCATCTACATATGTCGTTTGCAAAATCCTGAATAATGCTTTTAAGGATCCCTGTACCACTGCCAAAAGCTGATTTTGCTGGCAGGACTGCAGCATTTCTGAAATCATATGTGGAAAGAAAATCATACCTTGCAGGGTTTTTGTAAAAAATAAATGAGACGAAGCAAACAAAAAATGTAACCAACACCAGGGCCCGTATTCATGAAACCGTTCTCATGCTCAAGCACGGATTCCGTGCTCCAACCAGCTTTCTTGTATCTCACTTAAAACAATCAAAAAGTAAAATATAAACAGTGAAAATTGTTTTCGGCTTTAAATCTCTTCCATTTCTTTCCAAATCATTGAAAAAATTATATTGTTTTATTGATTTATAATCGAATCAAGAATTTAGAGACCTTAATATAATGCAGTGGGTAGGGATCTGTAAGATGAATCGATTGGAATGATCTGAAAGGAATTTAACAAGGAATCTTCCATGTCATATTAATAATCATACCACAGAAATTAAGAATCTAAAGCTTCAGTTTAACTTGTTATTTTCTGTAAAACAGACACCGAGTTTTGCCCAAGAGAATCAATGTCAGGATTGAACATGTGAAGCACTCCAACTGCCGTCTTGACTTCGTGAAAAGAGTGAAGGAAAACGCAGAAAAGAAGAAGGTGGCCAAGGAGAAGGGAACCAGGCTCAGCTTGAAACGTCAGGTAGGTCTTGCTTGCCATTAAACAAATATATTAACAGTTAATCATGTAATTAAAAAAATATTAATTATCAGTAAATTTACACATGAAAGTTATATAATAATATTTACCTTCCTTTACTTTCCCTAGTACAAATTCATGTTGATGTATGAAGTACATAAGGTAATGCGTAATGCTTCTCTTAATGATGCATTCTTTGTCATGTTATTTAATAAGACTTTCTGTTGTTTTGCAGCCAAAGCAGCCCAACAAAGCTCATTTTGTGAGCACAAAATACAACAAACCACAGCTCATTGAGCCCATCCCCTACGAGTTCATCGCCTAGGTCATGAAATAAAAAAAATGTACAGAAAATTCATGACTTGAATTTTTTTTTACCAAAATATATTCATCTAGGCTCATATGTTTTAGGTCACCTTAGTCACCTTTTGTCTGTCCACTGTCCACTTTTGGGGTTTGATTAAACTTGGTGGTTATCACCAGCCTGTGGTAGGGATAAGAATCTATACTAAAAGCGAAAAAAGGCAGACCCAGTTTGACCTCCAAAGGATCACAAAGTAAAAAAATATTCCGACAACATCTCATCTATAAGTTGCCTAAGGATCCATAGATGATGATATAATCAGAATCTAGACTGCAGAAGGAGCTGATCCACAGCCAGCGCCAGCAGACGGACAGGTTTAAATGGAGTCATGGAGAGCTAAAGACAGGGAAAAAAACATTACGAGGATCACGCTTTTTACCCCTAATGGAACTCCTTCTGGGGAGGAGGGGGACTTGTATTATGGGGACATTTAGTTCAGACCTTCAAATAGCATTTAAGTTAAAGGCCTTGCCAGATATAAATATGGGGTTGGGGAAGGGAGGTCGAGAGGCACTTCAAAATATGGGTGTTAGAATCTTGTTGCAATAGTTAAATTATGGTTGGTGGTATCCATGGTAGTGTACCGGTATTCCCAACGGATGTCTTCGAAGAGGGATATACGGGAAGCAACTTGGGTTTGCTTCTGTTTCATTGCACATGGTGAAAATCTAGATGTGGTCAAAGCTGGATCACAGGTGTTGGCTTCGTCTGTCAATACACCCATAATACAAAATAAGTGTATTGTGAGACGAGGCAATAATATGTGTTGGAAGTGAACCATTTAGCAAATCTGTACATGGTGGCAGGCCAACGATGCATTGAGATATGACAATACAATCTTAACTACAATACCAAGATTTAAAATTTAAAATACCATATTGATTTATAAATTAATTGCATAATGTTGTTTTTCACACACTGGAATCAACAGGTTGGGCACAACCCTGCATATGGGTAATACTCCTGAATTTTGGTAACGGCTACCATTTACAGTAGCAGTTTCATTACTGAAATGGGAAATAAAGTGAAATGAAAACACAAAAGTTCTTTTAAATAGGACCAAAAAGGAGTGAAAATTCATTTGTATACAAAAAGTTATCAATTCTGATGTTAAAACAGCAAACCCTATCATTGACTTCAGTGTGTTGCCAATGTGACGGGTGAGCATGTTTATTTCTGTGCTACATTGTAGCTACTCTACAACACACTGTAAGCAATGGAGGTGATGTTAGTTTGAATTAACATGTTTGTGTTCCATTGTACCTCATTGTTATAACATTCATTGGGTTATATTTGAAAGAATGAAAAATTAAAATAGTTAAGTGCGTGTTACAAAATATATATAAAAATCGTGGGTGGTAGAGTGTAAGAAAAATTAAATCATGGGTGGGTAATAAAAAAGTGCCTCCTTGACCCACCCACCCCTACATTTATTTCAGGAATAGCCTTTATTTAATTTAAGCTAAATAGTTTTCTTTTTAACTAGGCCTTGCATTGGGAGACACTGCCTACTAAGCTCTTATTGATGTAAACAATTCTACTCGACAGAAGTATTTATTCGGCTGACCATGAAGGTCAATCTGAATTGTTATGCTTTGTCTCAGTTAAAAAAAAAGACACACCAAAAGTTGTACTGGTAGTTGAAGATTATACATACAAAGTTGACTGGTACGCTTGTACACCAATAATTGGGAGCAAGGAATCTTCCAAAAATGAATAAAGAGGTCATGAAGAAACATGTATATTTATATGTACCCCTACCTACCGTAAATATGTCTGTCTGCATTGAACCAATCCTTAAGCTAACTACGAACCTTCGATTCTGTCAAGAAAATTAATAGGGTGCAGAGGATATGTTATGCCGAGGGCGTAGCCGTAGACTGGCCACCGTCTCTAGAATATTGAATTATTAAGAAAAAAGTTTAACCCTGAAAAAAATTATCACTTGGATGTCTGATTCTAGACTAGTTCTTAACTAGGGGAAGATAAGCTAGTAGTAAAATGCAGCTGAGAAATTCTTCATAAAAACTTGGGGGCTGGTGGCCAGTCGAGCGTAGCCGTTGAATTTAGAATACGACATTTGATTAGCAAACTTTTTTTGTACGAGTTGTTTCTCTTTCTTCTATAATTACGAAGTTTCAAATATTGTTCACAGAACAAAATCTTCTGCCAATAGCCGCGTTTTTGTGTCACATATTTAAAGCCTTAAATTTTTCTTGCATTCAGTTTTCAGAATAGATTTATTTTTGAATTACCAAATTGGCATTTACATGGGTGTCAGATGCAAAAGGAGCCACCCAAGTGCGAACCCCTTTTCCCCAGTTAAAGTGGGTTTGGGGAGGTTGTGGAAACAATAATTAGTTTTCTGGTGGTCAGTTAAGAGTTTATTTAAGTCGAAAAACACCACTTTCTGGGTTAATGATATGCTAAAAAAGGATGAGAATACCGACTTGTCTACAAATCTATTTCGTAATCAAAATCGCTAGATGAAACATGAAGGCACTTGTACACCTGCACAATTACCCAAGAAACTGTCATTCAATGCAAATAAGTACTTTTATGTATACAGTTTTCATTTGATGAACCGTTTCATGACAATTAAACTGTATTAAGCTTTATTGGCTGCTGATTATCGTTATGGACAATTTAAAGGTAAGATAAACGATCAAAACATGACTTTCCTGATTTACGTGCCGTGTGACGCTATTTATTGGAATATCATTTTCAAAGGGCCAGTTTGAGAAATTCATTTAATCGGAACCCTCGTTGATTCTTTAAATATTACAACTATGCATATTTTCCGCCGATAATGATTGTTTATCCCGAAATATCAAATTGTGAAATAAATGAAAAGTTGATAGTATCTATTTATGAAAAATGAACAAACATTTTTGGAACTGATAGTATGGTATAAATTCATATTTATAATATTTATCTAAGAGGTGTCCCGATTTGCGTACAGTGACGTTATATAAAATCCAAACAATGACTTCTGAACGATCTGTGACATGAAATACCGTGGGTTAGAAAACATTGATGTCACTGTCAGGTCAGAGAGGTCGCCATAGGAAAACCGAAATCGTACGCTTAACGTACAGCTTAAAAACCTGCACTTATATATATATATATATACGTGGGGCACCGCAAAAGGGGTACGGTTTGGCGTTTCATGCAGTTTTATTCAATGCCGTGTCCATAAGGAATGCAATTAAATGCAATGTTTGGGTTTTTATGTGAATATTTTTAGTTACGTAAATTTATGTCAACACATAAAAAAGGAAATCGCCTATTCGCGGTAAATGCCCAGTGATTAGGCAGTACACATGCAAGAACCGTTATGATGACTCGCGGCATTTCCGGAAATCCGCATACCAACTACCAGGATCACCGGAAGACGGCTCTTTGTACCAATAGTGATTTAAAAAACATTTTTTTTATTTGTCATTCAACAAAAAGGATTAGGCACAAGTTATCTCAACTTAGAAACGCCCTCTCCAATACATTTCACCAATAGTGAAACATTCCTATCTTCATATCATTGGAATGCAGGATATTCGGATACTGTTTTGCTTTAATTTGCTTGGATTCTTTTGTCCTCTGATTAATCGTATTTGGCAGAAACTATTTACACATTATTTACATGTGTTATGTAGTTCACACAGTTATGTAGTTCCATGCGTTTTATCTCTTGGTTTCTACACTTTGGGGTTTATTTATTAATTTAATTTTAACTTCATTTTGGTGGTGTTTGTTGCTGAGCGTCTTTTCATTTATCACATAATCGGCCAATTATCCAGTCGATTGTGACGTCATAATATGGACAATGACGTGACGTCATAAATTGTGATTGGCCAACAAAATGTTTGTCTCCGTTTGATTAAGCCCTCTACATTTTGGCTTTAAAACCTGTCAAAATGTAAGTTTTCTGAGTTGTGTGATAAAAAGTATCTTAAATTTGTTTTCGTTTCATATGAGCTTTTATGAAATGAAAACTCCTTTAAGATCCTATATATATGAGCCACGATACTTCAGAGATTGTTAGGTTTCGCACTTGTGTTACACGTTATATATATCATCTACCAATGTAAGGGGAACTGTTGTAACTTGGCACTATATATGTAAGTGCTTGACTATGCGAGTTATATTACATCAGCCAATGCATTTAGATCTTACATTTTATATACTACATACCAATGTAAGGGTAACTGTTGTAACTTGGCTCTATATATATGTAAGTGCTTGACTATGTGAGTAATATTACATCAGCCAATGCATTTAGATCTTACATTGTATATACTACATACCAATGTAAGGGGAACTGTTGTAACTTGGCACTATATAAGTAAGTGCTTGACTATGCGAGTTATATTACATCAGCCAATGCATTTAGATCTTACATTGTATATACTACATACCAATGTAAGGGGAACTGCTGTAACTTGGCACTATATATATGTAAGTGCTTGACTATGCGAGTTATATTACATCAGCCAATGCTTTAAAAGTCTATTATTAGGTCTTACATGGTGTTACATACCACATATACGTTCATTTGCATCTTATCGTATTTTTGCTTGTCACAATCCGGTCGATCCCACATATTTTTGTATCTGACAAGGATACGGAAATGCAATATCCCGTGTCTTCATCGTGCAAGGATATACAATGTCTTTTGCAAATCTTTTTTCTATAAATAACTTGTGGATTTTCCATTATATAAGATATTGAACGGTATGTAACCGGGTTCACTGACCGGGTTCACCCGATTGCCGATTATGATTTTGACGTTCTATATAGGACTTTGTCTCGGATGGTATAGCAAAGTACATGTAAGTATTCTAACAAAGATAAACATTAACTTTTAGGTAATTCAGGGATTACAATGTCATATGTTATACACATATTGTGTAACAAGTGTAAAAATAGCCTGCTCATTATATACAACAGCAGGTGCGTGAATGAAATATGCGCTAGACTACCTTTGTGTAATCTCACTGGGAAATACGTGGTATTACGTAATGTACAGAATTCAGGGAATTCTAGTATATTTGAAAGAGGGGGCGTAGAATGAAAACTTTTGCCGAGCGGAGCGAGGCGAAAACACTTTTGGACCTGTTTTTGCTAAAAAAAACCCCATAAAATAATTGTGAAATGCACTAATGTAACGAGGTTTTTTTTGGCTTCCACTAATTACAATAAACGAAAGAAAATGTAAACGTTTCCCCAATGGTGCCATGCATTTTTTTACGCCAACAATAAATGTAGTATTTTTGCAGCAAAATAATTTTGTCAGACCCAGTTGTGTTGGAGGTGATGATTTGTTGACGGGAGTATTTATCTTAATTCTTAAATATCAAATGTTACCCCTACACTCTAGGATAGGTCAAAGGATACCTCAGCGATTGATTCTCACATAATCCCTGTGTTATTCACTGTGTTTTATAATCTGATTTTTTCTCACTGACTTAAGATAAGTTAAGGAGCGTGGAGACGCAAAGGGAGTTAACTCCAGAGTCAACCCACACTTTGCAATACACTTATCGGTTGAATTTCATTTATGTATATTGTCATAATGCATTTACTTTACTTTGTCAATTTTCAATGAATGTATAAATGTATATTGTTCTTTTTAAACTTCCTTTAACGCTGTGCTGTCAATTACAATATTTATGCATCAATTCTCTAAATAGACTGTTCTTCATAAGGGTCATTGTCACAGTAGCTCCCTCAAACTCATCTTTGTTTGCGCAAAGAAACACCAGTTTTGCTACGTTTAGGATTTACATTTGGTAAACTCTGACAGAGGAACGTGTAATTTAAATGTGACCGGAACTATGACTTGCTGTTACAAATGTAATTTGGACTCAGATACGTCGCATTAATATGCTATTTGAACGTTTACTTAGGGAATGACTGTTCCATATTACCTCCGTCTCTCCTCTCTTTTATCTTATTATAGATATATTTATCGCCCATCTTTATTGTTTATCTGCTTACCAACAATTGTTATTTTCAACGCCAATAATTGTATACTTTACTTTAAAATTTTAATCCTAAGTGTATTATACCGGTTTACTTTGGCAGAAAATAGCAGCGCAGAAAGATATTTTCAAAACAATTCTATCGTCATTAGCTTTTCCATGTACACATTTGCTCTTAATTAAAATAGTGTTGTTATTCTCACATTATTTTTTCGTTACTTTACAATGATTCGGTAACGACGTACTATTTTCCTACGCGCTTCATATCCGTGTTGAATACTATTTCCGGTTCAAGACGTCACCTAGCGCGAGCAGTCGTTCTGTTTTTAAAAGCAAAGCAAGGGAAATATGTCGATTCTCCTCATCGGACACTGCGATGTTGATGAGTTATCACCAACCCATCCCAAGTCCTCTGATTGAAAGTCAGAACATCGGAAGAAGTACAAATCACACTGGAAAACATATTTGTTAACAACGATGATCCGATAATTGTTTTAAAACCAAGATGAAGGTATGATTTTTTCGGATGAGCAGTACCATTAAAAATACCAAAAGAAACTTATGTGTTCTTTTGTTTTGAATGAAGATGAGTCATGCTATCTACTCTAGCTTATGTCTATAGTATATGTATGTATGTAGTAAACAAGTCTACTGATGCTAAATAAGGTTGATCAATGATTCAGTAAGCTCCACAAGGGCCCTCGGTTGCTAAGTGGTTAAGGCGTCAGACATTCTGCTACCACTAGCCCTCCACCAGTGGGTCGCGGGTTCGAGGTCTACGTGGGGCAGTCGCCAGGTACTGGCCGTAGGTCTTTATGGTTTTTCTGCGGGAATTTCGGCTTTTCTCCACCACCAAAACCTGGCACGTCCTTCAATGACCATAACTGTTAACAGGACGTAAAACACAAACCAACCAAACCAAATCCACAAAGTAACACTCCATTAAGATGCGAAATCAATGGTTAACTTCTTCTGTAATCTATCACCATCTTTAAACAGTACGGCAATTTAAAAACATCTTATTCACGATTCATAACTACGTCAATTAGATTTTACCTTTAAAAATGAGGAATTGAACATTACAAATATTACAAGTCGAGACCACAGGGACCTGATAATTAGCTACAGCTACCTATATGTACCTAAACTCAGGTGTTCAGAGTGATTTGACATGTTTTAGGGGTTTAGATCGACTTTCGCTAAAAATGACGCCCCCAACGAGAAGGGCGGAAAGCTCTCGATGTTGAAAAGTCGACCCCACCTATTTTAATATCTTGTATCAAAAACAACATTTCTAGTTGATCTACGGAACAATCCTTGGTACCTTTGGAAAGATGTTTCAATTTTCTTTTAAAAGCCTCCTATATGGACGTAAACTATATTCCCCTTCCGCGGACACGATCTCCGTTTCCTTCCAAAAACGCACGCCATTTCAGAGCTTCAAAGATTTCGCTGTCATTGGGGGTGTCATTTTTAGCGAAAGTCGATCTAAACCTCTTAAATATGTAAAGTTACTCTGAACACCCTAGTTTAGTTACAAATATAGCTGTAACAAATGCTCAGGTCCCTGTAGTCGAGACATCCTTGAATAGGACAGACACGGTGTGGTGATATAATCTATACACTCGTGTTCAAGGGCAGGTAGGTACAAATATATCTTAATCGTCGGAATATACCAACGATGTACATTCAAGTACGGCGCCTTTGATTAATTTGATTTATTTTTTATCATTTATTAACATATACATGTAGATGATCAAAGATGCAATAACACGGTCATTCTTTTTCGGTACCCGATCTGAAAAAAAGGTTAAAGCTTTTAATTATTCCAAATACTTTGTGTCTTGTGAGTATTTGATGACAATATTGACCCAGAGTTCTGCAAAACGTACGCATCAATCAATTGATCAAAGTAAATTAATAATGATAAATGGCTTGTCATATTTAAAAAAAAAACCAATAAGCGATGTGACGAACCAATCGGTGTTTCGATCACAAACGTAGGAAAAAATTGTCGCCATCATTCAGATTTTCGATCTGGATAGCTTTAAAACTGGCCTGGTAAAACTGGAACAGTTGGTATTTCACCGACACTGAATTGTGTACTGTTCTTGTGTTTGGAGCTATCCAAATGGGATTAAGCGCATAATTCCCGAGACAGCGCATACTTATGATCGACCAACTGATATCGGCCTGTTTTTGATTTTTCAGGAAGTATACCAAAACTTATTCTGCATAATAAATAGTATACATGAACTTGAAGAACACATATTTTCCTGTCATTCCAGGCGCTCCCGGCCTTATCATATGCTTTCTGGCACAGGGTCATTTTACTATGGGGCAATGGAGTTTGCAACCTTGATTATATTGTAAACGTGTATTGACAGACGAAGTTAGTTACAGTGGTGAACTCAATTTCTCCTATCACAATCCGTTGAAGTAGGGAATTACGGAAACCTATGATGGCTAATTTCTTTTCTAAACATTTTCTTCAGCTTGGTAAGTATGGATTGTGAAAAGATTTATGTAACACAACCAATAAGTATTTATATGCGAGGTTTCGATGACTAGTACGGTATGTACATGTACACTGTCACCTTCATCAGACAAAAGACCAGTGAAGCGTATGTACACAAAGGTGTAAAATATGACCAAGTATTAGCTGAATCGAGTCATTTCGGTACATATGTAACTCCCACCCTGGTAAAAAAAAATACTAGCCGCTTCCTACCGTCTCGGCTAGGGAGATTTTCTCTTAAGCTCATTCGGTAGAACGTAAGACTAGTAAACCGGAGGTCCCGGGTTCGACTCCTAGCGGAGGCATTGAAACATGATCGATTTGTGGACAACTTTGTGGAGTACATACCGTACTAGTCATCGAAACGTCACATATAAACACTTATTGGATATGCTACATGGATCTTTTCACAATCTATGGTGGCTAATATATGTTTTGTTTTGTTATTCATTTTGTCGCTTGGTATCTTTTCGCGGGCGTCAAACTGAACGGACGAAATGTCACATATAAACCACCATAGTAAAGGCAATGTTTGTAAAATGTAGCTTTTATTTGTTGAAGCCGCTCGAACTGTCAGATCAAAGACATATTTCTCTACTGCCTCACAATCGGAAAAGCAGAAAGCATTGTCATTTTCAAACATGCCTGTTGCCGCGGTTATAATGACTGTGTTGCACATAAGTCCATAGAAATATGTGCATTAATTAACGACCATATCATGACCAGTCACCATTAACACTTTCTGTATAACTATATGCCTACTCCTTAATTCTAGTTAGGCACTGTAGTCAATGCTTTGTCTATTTGTAGAAAGTTCATACCGTTCGAGGCCTACGTGGGGCGGAATGGCCGTAGGTCGGTGGTTTTTCACCGGGAACTCCGGCTTTCCTCCACCACCAAAACCTGGCACGTCCTTAAATGACCAAAGCTATATATATGACGTAAAGCACAAACAAACAAACCAAACATACCGTGTAATATACTTCATACATGACGATACTTTACTGATATACACAATTCATATACTTATTGTTGATTCTTCCGCCATCTCTGAACTGTGATGATCCTGCGGTAAGCTATGTTTATTAAGATCTGTGCGGATATTCCCATGAGATGTCTCATATCATTTTCAGCTCACCTGGCCTAAAGTGAGTAAATAAGTACGCAGTACTTATGCCGTAATGCGGCGTCCATCGTCCGTCGTCCGTCCGCCCGTCTGTCGTCCGTCCATCAACTTTTTCTTTTGAACGACCTCTTCTGAAGGACTGGAGGACCTAGGGTCATGCTATTTGGCCAGTAGGTACCTGGGATGGAGTGCTATACACTTTCC